AGTGGCAGGATGTAGGGGACTGGGAGAGTGAGTGGGAGGGAGGTGATCCCAGGAGCCTAGAACAACCTTCATGAAGGCCCAGGGTTTTTCATGGGCAGGAGGGTTCGGGGCCTGAAGTGACTACTTTAGTAGAAACACTGAATGGGCCAAACAGCCAAGATAAGCAGGATGGCAGCTCCTTTTGTCTTGACTTGAAAGCCAGACAGACAGAACTGGGAGATAGTTTGGTTTTCTTCACAGCATATTAATACTCTGAAATTAAAACTGCCTTTTAATAAAGCATATGCTTAGTTATAATCCTGCTTCATGAGAAGAAAACGCTCATTTGTAAACATCATCTCTATCATTTTGCCCTTTTCCAAAGTACTTGGAAAGTAACCAGTTTCCCTGAAAGAAAAAGCAAAGTTTTGAGCAGTTGTTATTAAATTAGAGGAAGTGCTTCTGTACAAGGGGAAGTCGGCAGCTGGGAAGCTGATAGCACAGATCCCACTATAGTCCATTTCATAGACATTTCATTCAGTAACCCTGCCTCCGAGGAGACCTGCAGTAAAACTGACCACAAAGCTAATAAGAGTATTTAAGTTTTCCAGGTTTGGGCTTCTTAAAGGAAAATAATACGTGACAACTCATCCTCATCTATGGGGTAGCAGACATCCAGTCCACTGCTGACAGACTACCTGCCCCTTTCAGAATCTGGTCCCTCTTGGTCCGTGATTCAGATCCTTAGCCTCATGCTGAAGTGCTATGAGACCACTCTGTGCCTTTAAACAAAGTATATGTCAAATATAATTCACATACCGTAACATTCATCCTCTTAAAGTGTACAGTTCACTGGTTTTAAATGTATTCACATTGTTACACAACCATCACCAGAACATTTGTAGTCCCAGCTATTTGTGAGGTGGAAGCAGGAAGATCGCTTGAGCCCAGGAGGTTGAGGCTGCAGTGAGCCATGATCATGCCACTGCACTCCAGCCTGGGTAACAGAGTGAGACCCTGTCTCAAAGAAATAAACAAAACAAACAAAAAACTCAACTTCTTGTGTATTGTATGTAATACTCCATATTTATGAGTAACTTTCCTTTTTTATCATTGTATTTGTTCAGTATTCTGGGTCTTTTAAAGCAGTGGTTCCCAAAGGTTAGTCACAAAGTAATCTTCTAGGGTGCTTTATAAAAATACTGATTCCTGGGCCCTACCCCTAGAGCTGCTGAATCCCTGGTGGAAGAGGCAGTTCTGGGAAGTGAGGACTCCAAGATCAGTATTTTGTCAAGTTTTTTAGGTGCTTCTGATGTGCAGCTTGGTTTGTGAAACTGTGGAATGCTACATAGTGTGGCTCAAACTGGTTTCATTTAGGGTCCCATCATTGCCAACTCCTGAATATGGCCACCATTTCTCAGAATTCCAACTGCTCAGAGCTTTGCTTAAGGAGGGGAGGAGACAGCCTCCATCTTTCCATTACATGCATGACTGGACCAAGAATGGAGTCCTGAACCAGTCTAGACCAGTACAATTTTCTCTCACAGGAACTTGGAATTTAGACCAAGACTTGAAATGGGTCATGAGTGGGCACTAACTGGAAAGACTTTTTAGAGCTAGGGAAGCCATTTTCCACCAAATGTTCACTAATGGAGACTCTATCTTAAAGGAAAAGTGGAGAAAAGGAAACAGATGGGCAAAGAAAAGTGTTAGCAAAAGACTTAGAGATGGAGAACCATCTTGAGTTTCTTGTCCCTGCCCCTTGTGAGACCCAATTTGACTTTCTGCCTTTGGAGACTATAAGTTACTCCTTCTAGTAAATTGTCCTGTTTGAATGAGTGTCTGTTTTTATAATTAAATAACTTGAGATTAAGGTAATTTAAGCCTAAAATAATTTAGATGGCATCTAAAGAAGCACTTCTCAATCCTGCATTCTTATAGACCAATACTAAATGTCCCACTTCCTGTGTGACTGTCTGGTCATATCCAGCCTTATTTCTAATTGCTGAGACAAAAATTAAATCTCTCCAGTCAAAAAAAGAGTCAGTCTTTTTATCATACACAGGAAAAATATCATAGCTGAATTACTTCCTTGACTTCTATGGAGGGAAAAACTAGCTCATATGTCTGATATTTAATTTTTCCTAATCCATAGTTAAATATTCCACTCCTTTCTCTTTATTGATGGAATAGAATATTAGTAGTAAAATAGTAATAAAAATAAGAGCGATAAATAAAATAGAAAATGTCTGTACAATGTTAAAGGATGTTCATTTTTTTTATACTCTTCACAACCCTATGGGATAGACAAAGATGGTGTCATTAGCCCTATTTTTTATTTGAGAAAACTAAACCAAAGTAGTTACTTTTATTTATTTATCAAATATCTATTGAATATTTCTTATGTTCCATGAATATACTTCCCTGTTCTCAGGAGCCTATCTTTTAGGAGGGAAGGCAGACAAGCTATTACCAAAAGGTAATCTGTGAGTTAAGAACCAGAACAGGCCTTCTAAAGTGAAGGCCCCTCTCCCTTGGCTCTAGCTATACCCATAGTCACCTAATTCATTCTAAGTACATGATGAGAATCTTAAAACAAAAGATGAGATACCAGATATAACTTATTTGAGGGAAATTTAATTTCTTTTGTTTTTTCTACCCTACTGCAAATCCAAAATGCTCCACATTTAACACATTTCGTATTCTCATTCGTCACCCAAAAGAACTGTTGTTCCCCATTCACAGTTCCACGTGGCTGGGGAGGCCTCAGGAAACTTACAATCATGGTGGAAGGGGAAGAGACACGTCTTACATGGTGGCAGGCATGAGACAGCAAACCCGTAAAGGATGAAGAGTTCCTTATAAAACCATCAGATCTCATGAGAACTCACCTCATAGATTTCCTGATTCATGGTATTGCAGCATCATCAGATTCCCAAGCACTGCTCTTCTCTCACTCTCCCACTTTGAATAAGTGCTGTCAGCTCTCCCTCCTTTTTGTCCCCCATTCCTCTGCTGAAGCGTTTTTTTGGGCCACCATTTCTTACCTGGGCCTTTGCAAAAGGATAATCAACATTTCAGCTCTAGGCCTCTTTACTCATTTCTGGCACAAAAATCTGGTCATACCATTCCAGCACTTACAAAGTCATGTCTCTGTTTTTGAGGATTATAAAATTCAAAATCTTTAGCACAGCACAAAAAACGCTTTGTAAGGAAGGATCCCAGTCAGACCCCTCTCCTGTCATGTCCTACTGCAAGTAGCCTCTTTTCACAGGGTGTCTCACACCTCTGCATATATCATTCCCTTATTCCCTCTTCCTCATATGATCCTGTACTCCTTTCCTCTTTTAGGTAAACCCCTTACTTCTAGCACTTCAAAGCACAATTTGAATATCAACTCTTTTTAAAGCCACGTATTAGTCTGTTTTCACACTGTTATAAAGACATACCCAAGACTGAGTAATTTATAAAAAAAAAAAAAGAGGTTTACTTGATTCACAGTTCCACATGGCTGGGGAGGTCTCAGGAAACTTACAGTCATAGTGGAAGGAGAAGAGGCACGTCTTACATGCTGGCAGGCATGAAAGAGCAAACAAGTGAAGCAGGAAGAGTCCCTTATAAAACCATCAGATCTCATGAGAACTCACTATCACGAGAACAGCATGGGGGAAACAGCCCCCATGATCCAATCACCTCCCATCAGGTCCCACCATCCACAGGTGGGGATTATGGGGATTACAATTCAAGGTGAGATTTGGGTGGGGACACAAAGTCAAACCATTTCAGCCATCCCTGAATGTCTGGCCATCCCATTCTTTAGTATTTATCACATGGTATTGTAATTATTTGCTCATATATCTCTCTCTTTCATAAGGCTGTGGAATCAACTATGTCTTCTTCCACACCCAGGGAATGCTTGGTACATTAACTTGCTGTCTGAGTCCATTTTGTTCTGCTAAAATACAATAACACAGACTGGATAATTTTTAAATAATAGAAATTTATTTCTCACAGTTCTAGAGGCTAGGAAGTTCAAGATCAAGGTGCCAGCATCTGATGAGGGTTTTCTTGCTGTATCCTCACATGGTGGAAGGGCAGAAGAGCAGCAGAGGACACCCACCCCCACAAAACTTTTGATAGCAGCATTAATCTATTCATGAGGGTCACTCTCTTCATAAAGGTGAGCACTCTTGACCCAAATGCCTCCCATTAGGCCCCATCTCCCAGTAGTCTTGCATGGGAATTAAGTTTCGAACATATGAATTTTGGGGGACATATTCAGACCATAGCAGTAGCCAGTGTTTAATGAACAAGAAAATGAATAAATAAACTTAGCAGTGTTATCAGGGACGACAGAAGGGCAAGATGTGTTTCTGTGCCCAACCTCCTATCAAATGCTGCCCTCTCACCACCCAGCACTATGTGCCTATGCAGGAATGTGTCCTTTGAGCAAAACACAGCAAGGAAAGAGGGAGAAAAATCTGTGTTTTCACTTTTTTTCTTTTTCTTTTTAAGAGATGGGTTCTTGCTGTGTTGTCCAGGCTGGATTTGAACTCCTGGGCTCAGGTGGTTCTCCTGCCTCCACCTACGAGTAGCTGGGAGTACAGGCACACACCACTGTGCTGGCAGGTTTTTGTGGTCTCTCTTGGTCCCTCTTTAAAGGTGAGTCTGCATTCACCTTTGGAATAGTTCTAGTTGTCAGAGATTGAATATCCTATTTTAAAATGCAATGTTCTTACAACTGCCTTTGATGAAGGAGAGTTGAGATGGGACCACTGGGGAAATCTCCAGATGACTAGCGGGCAAGCAATTTGATTGCAGTGCCAAAATGCTTCCATTTAAAGAGCCAAAGTTTGCAAATGTGTGTAAACTGATCCAATCTATTCCCAGGATGTGCCTGGAGTAACTAACGTAAGTAAGTTGATCCAAACTATTTCCGAGGTGTGCCCGGGATATAAATGGTTAACACTGACAAACACACCTTATGAAATCTACCAGCAGCTGAGGATGCCAGGCACCTCTTCTACCTCCCTGGAAGGCCCGCTGGGGCGGCATTTGGAAGCTGTCTTCGCCCCTGTCCCCAGCCCATGTCCCCTCCCAGGACGTGGGCGTTCCCCCTGAACTCGAGTCCCGCCTCCTCGAGCTAGCCGGGGCCTAGTGGGCGGGCCAGCCACGTGGACCGCGGGCCTGATTCTCGAAAGGGGCCTACGCCGTTGCCGCGCCGCAGCTCCAGGCCAGGCCCTCGCCCGACGTCAACAGCGTAGGCCCGGCTGCCCAGGTTTACTTTTACGCCACTGACGTAACGTCATCGTGCGGGACGTGGACGGAAGAAAAAAGAGAGCGAGCGCGCGCCGGAATCGGCCCGGCGTGGAGTGCGGACCCGTGGCAGTGCCCGGCGGCTGCGGCGGGGGTGAGGCAGGTACGCTGCGAGCGGCGGGGATGGCTAGGCGCCCTAGTCTCTGCGGAAGCTGATGTGCGTCCAGGCTCAAGCGCGAGGGGCGTGAGCGCCGGGCCGCTGGTCACAGAGGAGCGGGGGCGCGGCCGGAGCAGGTGCCGGGGCCCAGGGATCTGGCCCGCGGGTAGGTGTGGGCCTTGGCCGAGGGATGGCAGCTGCACCAGGCCGCCCAGGGCGCGCTGCAAAACTCCGGCGCGCTCCCATATGCCGGTGCGCGGCGGCCCCGGGATCTACGGATGGCTCCGGGCCCCTGACCTCCCCGGCCTTCCCTGGGTACCCCATGTGAGGAACTGGGCCAAGTGGAGACTTCAGGCCTCCGCGGGCCCCTTCTCGATCGGAGAGCCCGGAGCCTGCACTGGTGGTGGCGGTGGTGGCAGTGGTGGCAGTGGTGGCAGCGCCGGAATGCCGCGGGTTTTAGCTGGCCACACGCCGACTCTCGGGCCTGGGTCTCTAGTTCCCCGCGGCCCTCCGGGCGTTCGTGATCCCCTCCTCAAAGCCAGACTCCCTTTCCAGTATGGCATTCTGTGTATGCTGGGGCCTTCCTGTTACAGCAGGGCGCACCCAGATACCCCACCTCATCCCTTCCCCCATCATTGTCCCCTGCCCTCTGAGGTGGTGAGGCCCATCGGATCTTTGTATTTAAGTGGTGAGCCATATACCGAGCATGTGTTTGTGGATGAACTGTGTTGGGACTGAAGTTCACTTCTCTGTTCAAATCAGTTAGATAAGGGCTTTCTGCTTAGTCTGTAAAGAGATACTTGAGAAATGCCTTGAGTCAGAACATGAAAACTTTTTTCAACTGATGATACGGAGTCTAAACACACACAGAGAGTCTAGACGCAGTCACACGAATCTAGATATGAGTCTAGACAGACACACACACACTCTTTGCTCCTTAGGATCAACTGTGTGCTTCTCGAGGGCGTAATACACTCTGGCAAAGTGAGCTATCCATTACAGTGACAGGGTAGATGTAACCTCCGAGGTCAGTCAGAGATAGTGGTACACGGAAGAGGCTAGGAGGCTTAGTTTCTGTGTCAGTCTTCAACCTCTACTTCAGTGACCGTAAGTGTTCAGAACTTTCAATCACTCTTGGGTAACAGAGAGGTACACAGTCAGTCAATATATGTGTGTGATTGTATCTAACAGTGAATATTCATTGAATTCTTTGTTCCTGTGATGGGTCTTGAAGGAAATTAAGGAGAAAATAATCGTAAGGCATCATTAGTGCCTAAAAGACAAAAGAGGAAAACTGACATTTACTGACCATCTGTTGTACCCAAGCATTTTCCACGCATTATCTCATTTAATTCTCTCTATAGTTCCATGAGGTCCTTAGTGTTAGTATCCCTGATTTATAAGTGAGGAAACAGAGGCTTAGGAAAATTAGGTAGCTCTCCACGAGACACACACACAGATAGCAAGTGCAGAGCACGAACCCAAGTCTGACCAATTTCAAAGGCCTTGTTCCTCATCGTTTTTGCCATATTGTCAATGGAAAGTTTGTAATCCAGATGGGAAAAGCAGTAGTCACGGGCTATTTAAAATCTAACCTATGGAATATATATCCAGCTGTGAAGACTAGAGTTGCTGGGGAAGGTTTCTTAGGGAGGTGGAACTGGAATTTGATTGTTCTACCCTTTGGCTCTTCTATAGTTATTTTGGAGAATTCACATGTAAATAATTGTTTAGCAGCCATTATTGAAGGAATTTATATAAGCAGCAAACATAGATCATGTGCCAAAATCATACTTCAGTGTTATGAAAAAACTGAAATAACAAAGATCAATTAATACTTTGTTGCCTACTAGATGCCATATGTTTTAGAACAGCTGTATCCTTCCATTCTCTGTCCTATTTCGGTGCCTTGTGCAGTATAAATTGTAAAGCAGTAACATCATGCCTTATTTTTCTTCACTATGGGGCTAAATGCTAGTCTTCTGAGGCACATTTAAGAGGGGTGGGATATATCCACCAATCCATAGAACAAAAGTTAAAAGGAGGCCCATAAACAAAGAAACTGAAGTGTTTTTCTTGTGTAAACAGCAGTGTCTCTGTAGCATAACAAGAGCCACAATATTGGGAGGCCGAGGCAGGTGGATCTTGAGGTCAGGATATCGAGACCATCCTGGTCAACGTGGTGAAACCCCAACTCTACTAAAATACAAAAAATTTGCCAAGTGTGGTGGCGCACCGTGCCTGCAGTCCCACCTACTTGGGAGGCTGAGGCAGGGGAATCTCTTGAACCCGGGAGGCAGAGGTTGCAGTGAGCCAAGGTTGTTCCACTGCACTCCAGCCTGGCGACAGAACAAGACTCCGTCTTCAACAAACAAACAAACAAAAAAGAGCTACAATAATGAATGGCTTGTTCTCCCTGTACATATAGGAAGGAGTCCCCTACTTTTTTGTGAAATAAACTGTTCTTTGTCTAAAGTCTCAAATTTGACCCAGGGTGAGGAAATGCCCATAACTGCCTCATATTCTCAACCGAGATTTCTAGCCATGTTCTCATCCTCCACAGGATTAAGATGTTAGCCAGTTGCAGACATTGCCACTGCCTTCCAGGGGTACAAGAGTTACTTTATAATCCTGGGGCATCAGGAAGAAAAACATGGCAGCAGCCTCTGCCCTTTCCTCTTGCTTCTCATGGCTGGCTGGCAAGGATCAAGCTGACATTTCAAATAGGTGCATTTCCCAGTTCTGTTGGGAGGTGTTAGGAGAAAAGTGGACATGGTTGTTTTAGGATATTGGATCCGTTACAGGAATTATATGAAGATTTAGTATTAATACATAAGCATTGCACCTGAAAGATTTTTTTTTAATTTGGAAGATACCAAAACCAGCAGATATTTTTTGTGTCGCAAAATATTCCTAACCCTGCATTATTATTTGCTTACATAAAAACTAAGATGGTCCTAGGAAAGAAAGGGCTAGGGTTGAGAACTAGAAAAGAGCCACTTACTCTTTCTCTCTTTTCTGTAATATAGAGGAGGTGGGAGTTTCCCTAATACAGAAGAGTTTAGAGCAGGAGAGTCAGATTTTTACTCTGAGAGTAAGGGGAAGTAGAGGGAAATGAAATGAATTCTCCAGTATTTTTCGTTACTCACTTTTTAAAAAATGTGTTCTGCAGATACTTTGGTCGGTGACCACATCACAACATGTTGAGTCAAGTTTACCGCTGTGGGTTCCAGCCTTTCAACCAGCATCTCCTGCCCTGGGTCCAGTGTACAACCATCTCTAGATCTCGTACGTACTATAGATAACTTATGAGTGTGTGGGAAGTTTGATAGTCAAAGTGTGTTTCAACAAGGTTTTCAAAGAGAAAAAAAGTGTTTGTTTGTTTGGAGACAGGGTCTCATTTTGTCACCCAGGCTGGAGTGCAGTGGCACAAACAGCTCAGTGTAGCCCAGACCTCTTGGACTCAAGCAATCCTCCTGCCTCAGCCTACCAAGTACTTGGGACTACAGGCACACACCACCACACTGACTCTAACCTTTTTATTTTTTGTCGAGATGGGATTTTGCCATGTTGCCCAGGCTGGTCTTGAACTCTTGAGATCAAACAGTCTGCCCTCCTTGGCCTCCCAAAGTGCTGGGATTACAGACGTGAGCCATCATGCCTAGCCAAGAAAATAGGTTTAAAAGAGAAAAAAAAAAAAAAAAAAAGATGTAATTTGGCAGAATTGGACAAAATTCTGCCAAATAAGGAGGCAAAGAGGTAGTCTCCTGGTGAAATATTCCCAGTGTTTGTGTCAATTAAGTATTTCCTGTATTTATTGCCCCAAAATAAATTTTTACATGCTTTTTTTTTTTTTTTGAGTCTCACTCTGTCACCCAGGCTGGAGTGCAGTGGCATAATCTTGGCTCACGGCAACCTCTGCCTCCCAGGTTCAAGCGATTCTCCTGCCTCAGCCTCCCAATTAACTGGGATTACAGGTGTGCATCACCATGCCCAGCTAATTTTTGTATTTTTAGTAGAAACAGGGCTTTACCATGTTGGCCAGGCTGGTCTCGAACTCCTGACCTCAGGTGATCTGCCCACCTTGGCCTCCCTCCCGAAGTGCTGGGATTACAGGCGTTAGCCACCATGCTGGGATTACAGGCGTTAGCCACCATGCCTGACCCCATGCTATTTTTGTTCCTTACTTTTTTTGTAATTAAGTTTTAGATTTTAAGCTAATTATAAATTCACTTGCAGTTTTAAGAAATAGTACAAAGAGGTCCCTTATACCCTTTACCCAATTTCACCTAGTATCTCAACCAAGGTATTGACGTTGATACGATCAAGATACAGCACATTTCAATCACCACAGGATTTTTTATTTCTCTTTAACAGCCACTGTCCTCTTTCCTAATACTAACCTCTGGCCAACATTAATCTGGTCTACATTTTTATAATTTTGTCATTATGAGAATGTTATATAAATGGAATCATCCAGTATGTGACCTTTTGGGATTCTGTTTTCTTTAGTATAATTATCTGGAAAGTCATTCAAGTTGCTATGTGTATATGAACATTCATATACAGGATTTTGTGTGAACATAGTTTCATTTCTCTGGGATAAATGCCTAAGGGTATAGTTGTTGGGTCAGATTGTAGCTGCATGTTTAGTTTTTTATATAGTTTGAATATGTGTCCCTACCAAATCTCATATTGAATTGTAATCCCCAGTGTTGGAGGTGGGGCCTGTGGGAGGTGTTTAAGTCATGGGGGTGAATCCCTCATGCCTTGGTGCTGTCCTCGAGATAGTGAGTGACTTCTCACAAGATCTGGTTAAGTGTGTAGCACCACCCCCTCTCTGTCTTCTTGCTCCCTCTCTCACCATTGGAGATGCCTGCTTCCCCTTTGCCTTCTGCCATGATTATAAGCTTCCTCAGGCCTCACCAGAAGCTGAGCAGATGCCAGCACCATGCTTCCTGTACAGCCCACAGAACTATGAGCCAGTTAAACCTCTTTTCTTTATAAATTACCTAGCCTCAGGTATTTCTTTACAGCAATGCAAAAACGGCCTAACACAGTTTTATAAGAAATTGTCAAACTGTCTTTGCAGAGTGGCAGTACCATTTTACATTCCTACTAGCATTGTATGAGTGATTCACTTTCTCTGCATCTTTACCATCATTTGATGTGGTCACTCTTTTTTATTTTAGCCATTTCGATAGGTATGTAGTGATATCACATTGTGGCTTTAATGTACCTTTCCCTAATAGCTAATGATATTGAATATCTTTTCATGTGTTTATATCCTCTTCAGTGAAATGTTAGTTCATGTCTTTAGCTCAGTTTTTGTTTTGTTTTGTTTTGTTTTTGTTTTTTGAGACGGAGTCTCGCTGTGTCACCCAGGCTGTAGTGTAGTGGCGCGATCTCAGCTCACTGCAACCTCCGCCTCCCAGGTTCAAGCGATTCTCCTGCCTCAGCCTCCTGAGTACCTGGGATTACAGGTGCCCACCACCATGCACAGCTAATTTTTGTGTTTTTAGTAGAAACAGGGTTTCACCATGTTGGCCAGGCTGGTGTCAAACTCCTGACCTCAAGTGATCCCCCGACTTCAGCCTCCCGAAATCCTGGGATTATAGGCATGAGCCTCCACATGTAGCCTTTAGCTCAGTTTGAATTGAAAAGTTGTTTTTGTTGTTTTTTTAACTATTGAATTTTGAGAATTCTCTATATCTTCCTGTCTTAGTCCATTTTTATTGCTATAAAGGAATATCTGAGGCTGTAAAGTAAAGAGGTTTATTTGTCATGGTTCTGCAGGCTGTACAAAAAGCATGGCACCAATAACTGCATTGGGTAAGTGCCTCAGGCTGCTTCTACTCTTGGCAGAAGATGAAGGGGAGCTGGTGTGTGCAAAATCAGATGGCCAGAGAGGAAGCAAGAGAGAGAAAAGAAAGGGCCAGGCCCTTTTTAACAAGCATTTCTTATGGGAACTAAGAGTGAGGACTCATGCATTCCCTCTGAGAATGGCACCAGGCTGTTCATCAGGGATCTGCCCCTGTGATTCAAATGCTTCCCACCAGGCCCCACCTCCAACACTTGGGATCATATTTCAACCTGAGACTTGGTAGGGCCATACCATATGCAAACCACAGCACTTCCAGGTATTAGTCCTTTGTTGGATAGGTGGTTTGCACGTATTTTCTCCCAGTCTCATAGATTGTCATTTTATTCTTTTAACAGGGTCTTTCATATAGGAAAAGTTTTTCTTTTGACGAGGTCAAATTTATCAGCTTTTCTTTTTATGGATTGTACTTTTGGGGTGGTCGAGTCTACGAACTCTTTGTATAACCCTAGATTTTGAAGATTTTCTCCTATTTTTTTTCCTAAAAGTTCGATAGTTTTATATTTTACACTTAAATCCATGATCCATTTTTTGTTTGTTTTCTTGAGACAGAATCTTGCTCTGTTTTTACCCAGGGCTGGAGCATAGTGGCACGATCAAGGCTCAACCTCCAGGGCTCAAGTGATCCTCCTACGTCAGCCTCCCAGGTAGCTAGGACTGCAGGTGTATACCGTCACACCTGGCTAATTTTTTTTCTTTTTTTTTTTATTTTTTATTTTTTATTTTATTTTTTTTTGAGACAGGGTGTTGCTCTGTCAACCAGGCTGGAGAGCTGTGGTGCAGTCATTACTCACTGCAGCCACAACATCCCAGGCTCAAGCAATTCTCCTGCCTCAGCCTCCCAAGTAGCTGGGACTATAGGCATGCACCACCACATCTAGCTAATTTTTATATTTTTTGTTGAGACAGAGTTTTGCCATGTTGTCCAGTCTTGGCACATTTAATTTTTTAAAAAATTTTTTGTAGAAATAGAGTCTATGTTGCTCTGGCTGGTCTCGAACTTCTGGTCTCAAAAGATCCTCCTACCTTGACCTCCCAAAGTGCAGGAATTACAGGTGTGAGCCACTGCACCCAGCTTTGTGATCCATTTTGAGTTAATTTTTGTATAAGGTGTGAGGTGTAGGTCAATGTTCATCTTTCAACTTTTAATACCAGTTGTTCCAGCATCATTTGTTGAAAGGCTGTTTGCGATGTTTTGAGTTGGCTAGCTCCTCGATATCACCTACATCTTATCAGTAGTCCATTTCCAGGTTTCATTGCAAGATGACTTGCCAATCAACTCATCAGGCTTATCATTAGACAGAAAAATCTCTTTCCTATTCATGTAGAGTATAAGGGCTAAAAATTCAGGATTTGGAACCAGGTCCTGGGTTTTTAAAACTAGCCCTTCTCCTTATTAAGTAACTTAGTAGCCTAAAACAACTGTCTGTTTAGGTCACAATTCTGTGGGATGGTATTTTGGACTGGGCTCAGCTGCACAGTGGTTCTGTGTCAGTGTCAGGTCTCAGATTGACTTAGGGCTGATTGTTGGGGATGAAGAGGCCTCTGCTGGGATGACACATCACTTATGTTCCATATGGCTTCTCATCCTTCAGCAGGCTGTTCGTGGCTTCTTTGCGTGATGCTTGCAGGGTTCCCAAGAAGGGCAAGCATGGTAGCTGCAAGTCCTCTGGAGATGTAAACTCAGAATTTATACACTGTTCCTTCTGCCACATTGTTTTGGTCAAAGCAAGTTACAGGGCCAGCCCAAATTTAAGAAGTTTGGAAAATTGACTCACCTGTTAATGGAGAAGCTGCAAAAGGATTGTGGCCATTTTTGTAATCTGGCAACACTGATAAATTACTCAGTTACTCTGAGCATCGGTTTCCTTATTTATAAAACGGGGATAATAACAATAAGGAACTCATAATAATACCTAACTTATGAGGCTTAATTCATGAGAATTCAGTGAGATGATGGTGATGGTGATGACGACGATGATGATGATGATGAAGGTAGAGTATGGAAAAGCTCAAACTATTTTTCCTCTGCTCTCACTCCATGACAACAATCAACACAGAAGACTTCTGTAACCAAATGTGTGGGGGTCGCAGTGGACATCAGTTGGGTATCCTCCAGTTCAATTCTGACACTACCTCCCTGAGGACAGCCCACAGGTTGAGGGCTCAGTCCCACAAGATCATCCCCACCTTCCTACCAGTCCTAAGTCCAGGCCTCTGGAACTTCTGACTGACCAGCTTCAAGTTGGGGTTCCCACAGTCCCCTCTTTGGGCTTGGTTGATTTGCTAGAGTGATGCAGAGAACTCAGGGAAACACTTAGATTTACCAGTTTATTACAAAGGACGCAGATGAAGAGATACGTAGGGTGAGATGTGGGGTAAGAGGCACAGATCTTCCATGCCCATCCCAGGCACACCACTCTCCAGGAACCTCCACATGTTCAGCTGTCTGGAAGCTCTCCGAACCTTGTCCCCTTGGAACTCTTATGGAGACTTATTGAAGTAGGCATGATTAAAGCATAGACAACTGTGTTGAAATGTGATTGAACAAAAAGGATGTGACCTAATACTAATAGACTGAGTGGGGTAACCCAGCAAGGCCTGTCTGTTCAGATTTTATCTTGGTCTTTCTGTGCAATATTTCTTCCTCCAAGGTGTGGGGCAGGACCATCTCTGGATTGAGAGTCTTACAACCCACAATCAAATTAAGAGTCCTGCCTTGAGCAGGTGAAAGGAGTTCAGGAGAAGATCAGAGAGAGAGATTCTGTTTCCTTACACCAACATTATAACGAAAGACTGTAAAAAGCACTATTAGACTTATAAGCCAGGAACCATGGATATATATGCCATGTCGCAATAAGTAATACTTTTTTCATAGTACCAGCTAATATTCATTGAGTATTTATTTTGTGCCAATCTCTGTTCGTGCATGAACTTGTTTTGTCCCCCATACCAACCTTATGAGATAGTTAGGGAGACAGCAAGTAAGTGAAGGGGTTGAGATTCCACTCAGGCAGTCTGGCTCCAGAGCCAACGCTTATCCTTTTTACTCCTGTAGAAGGTGTGTGAATACTTAGCACAACTCCTGGTACGTGGTAAGTGTTCACTTCAGTATTTTTATTATTGATACTTATCCTCATTAGGCTCATTCACAGAAGGAGGCACTTTCTAATTGTTTCCCTAGGTTTTTGGATTTGGGGATTTGGATTTTTCTGGAATGGAGCTCTTTCACTGATCATGATAAGCAGAATAGCAGGGGGAAAAAATAGGAAAAGAAAGGCAAAATGAGAAAGCTTATGGAGACAAACAGAGAAGGCAATGGAAGGCCAGAAAGAAAAAGAGAAGTCATGTCAGGGTCCCTTCTTGCTGAGGCCTGGAACACAGCCTGATTGGTTGCTGGGCATAAGGACTCTGATGCTGAAGAAATAAAGGGTTCTCCTCCTTAAGGGTAATAAGAGTATAATCTGTGGCCCTTAAGAAGAACATGGACAACCCCTCCCATCCCCCACCACGCCACACGTGTACACACATACACCTCACTATGCCCTCATACCTACTAGGAGGGGACAGATTTTCTTTGGAACTTAGAGCCTAAAAGTTCCTTAGAAGATGGGAAACAATTACTTCTCTAGAAACCTTGAATTTTCCTAACTAATCAAGGCCTTCTCCATTTTCAGTATGGACCCTAACAAGTGTAATACACTGTAGAACATTTAAAAAATACCCCCCAAGAAATGTAGGGTCAACCTTGGAAGGTAAAAGGTGTTGTTCAATAGGAAACCCAAAAAGCTCTGGGTCCCATGAAGCTCTCCTTTGTGCTAGAACCTACTGGATTTGACTGAGTCACCTGCATGAAACCTTATTAATAGTGGTGACCTCCTCTTGAACCCTAACAGGCCTTATCTACTGCTGTTACCCTATTGTCTGCAGCCAGAATGACCCTTGACTACCTGGCACTGAGCCATGCCACCCACCCTCTTCTCCTGATACAGACTGTGGGTTAGCTTCCTTCATGCTAGCCTGGCTGCTGGATTCTGATTGGCTTCTACCATTTGATCACCATTTGATCAGCTGGACAGACACGCATGCCACTACCCATGTTCCCGAGGTACCCTCTCAGGCTGCTCCACCCATGCTCACCACCCCTTCCAGGTCGGGATAGGCCCTCCAGTGGACAGGAGAGAAAGCCAGAAAGCCTAGATCTGACAGCTATCAAAGGGATAATACATGATACTTGGCATAGCTCTGAGCTCTGCAAACAGCCACTGATGATCCCTGGTCCAAACCCTAGGGAAGTAAGCCTGTCCCTCCACCACCCTTCTCTCTATCAGATCAGTAAGACCAAACCATTATGTGTACAACTTTTAAACTTAAGACTTAGGTGTACATATTGCTTAGGATAATATTCCTGAAAACAGAGTAGGGTACCTGTATTATTAATAATTAACCTAATGAAGGAAAGTAGCACTCTGCAAAACTTAGCCTCAACAACAAACCAGTCTTTTAGTCCAAGGGACTCCCGTGGCAGGAAGAGACCATACACCTGTGGATCCAGCAATGCCGTCAGAATCCCAGTTCCATCCCAGATAATGGCTTACTAAGTAGCTGTGTGCCCAGATCTAGATGCCAAGCCTATTGTGAAAAAAGATCATATTATCTTTCTTATATCTCCACAAACCTGAAACATAGTCACTTGAAAAATGGTTATTTAAGGAAAGGAAGAAATGAATCTTCACTACTTTGTTAGAAATGTTCTTTCTAAGATTTGTGTGTGAAGGACACAGGAAGGGAGGAGAACCCACAGTCACCTTCCCATTCATGAGAATAAGCTCCTGCCTACTTTACCCACCATCAGTAGATTGTGGTTAGGGAGTGAGTTAGTGGCCAGGAGAGAGTCAGAGGTCTAAAGAGGTTTTCAGAGAATTGTCATTTATAGACAGACAATATAAAGGGAAGTGATAATGGTTGGTTCAAGTGAAGGTACTTAACTCTCTAATAAAGTTACAGAACAGTGGTTCAAAAGGTGGCTTGGAATGATTATTTCAGTAATTCATTTGAATATTTATGAGTTGCTTGTAATGAGATATAGAGAAGTCTTTGCAGGGAATTGCTTAAAGCTTAGTCCTGCTGAGAACCTATGTTACCCACCGTGTCTTGCTTCTTGCTATCAGGGAGGAAGGTCTGTTTGCTGTTAGTGCTCCTCCACCCCCACTGATTGACAGCATCTTCTCTTCCATGGAGACTTCACCCAGCCCATCTGCCTATGCAGTCATTCTCCTTCTATGTCAGTTACAATTATGTGCATGTAGCAGGAAACTCAAAATAATAATGGCTCAAACAGGATAGAAATGTATTTCTCTCTTTCTCCTGAAGGAAGCCTAGCAGTCCTGAAAGAAGGTAGGCAGTCCAGGGCTTCCAGAATAGCACTGTGGAATCATCAGGGATCCCTGCTCTTTCGTTCTTGTTGCTTCACAGTTCCTTCCAGTTCAAAATGAGTGATTGAGCTCCAGCCTTCATACCCATGTTCCAAGCAGCAGTGGGGATGAAGGGAAGAAAGCATGTCTCTTTTAAGTTCCTAGAAATTCCACATAACATTTTCACAGGTATCTTGTTAGCCAGATATCTTGTTAGATATCTTGTTAGTCACATGGTCCTGTCTATCTGAGCAAGAAAGGCTGGGAAATGTAGTCTTTAGACTGATGGCAGTATGCCTCGCCAATACTTGGGGATCTGGTAATTGTGTGAGAAAGGACAAATGGGTAATTAGTAATCAGCGAAGCAGGAGGTGTTGGGCCCATGAGAAGTGTTGAAGGGGTTCTGTGCCTGACATTCAGCTTTTACTCTTTTACTTCTGGCTTTATGCAGGTATCTCTTTGGCTTTTAATCAAGATTTTTTTCCTCCTTAGAAATCTTGTATAATTTTTGTTTGTTTGTTTGTTCATCTGTACAAATTATCTGTAATCTTGTACAGTGTTACAAGAAAAAGAATCAAGAAAATTGGTTAGAGGCAGATGTCCGAGGGGATAGAAAGTATCTGACTCTAACATTGCTTTTCCTTCAGAAAGCTCTTTGGTTTCTTTCATCATTGTTAGGCATCTGAATTCATCAAAGAGAAATTGTAGATAGGCTAGTTGAGATTTTGTGTTATTCATACACTTACTTTGTTCTTTACTGTCTTTGCTAATCAGGTTCTTCCTTCTTTTTTTGTTTTTTGAGAAGGAATCTCACTCTGTCGCCCAGGCTGGAGTGCAGTGGCACAATCTTGGCTCACTGCAACCTCTGCCTCCCAGGTTCAAGCGATTCTCCTGCCTCAGCCACCTGAGTAGTTGAGATTATAGGTGCCCACCACCACGCTCAGCTAAGTTTTGTATTTTAGTAGAGACGGGGTTTCACTATGTTGTCCATGCTGGTCTTGAGCTCCTGACCTCAAGTGATCCTTCTGCCTCCGCCTCCCAAGGTGCTGGGATTATAGGTGTGAGCTGCCATGCCTGGCCGGCTCTTTCCTCTTTTTATAGTAATATGGTTTCTTTAGAAACACCCGTATTTTTCTGATTATGAAAGCAATGCATCTTTACTGCATAAGCTTGGAAAACCTAAGAAAGAACAAAGAAGAAAATTTAAAATTGCTTATAATCCTATCAAGAAATAAAATATTAATTTTCCATTAATTTTATCCATCTATGTGTTTATACATATATGAAATTAACATATCATAAGCATTTTTGTACATTATTAAAAATTCTAAAAATGTTCATCTTTTTCCCTTTATCCAACATTTACTCTGCTTCTGATTTTTCCGGTAATAAATAACACGGTGATGAATAGCTTTCTGATAAATCTTTTTTAGAGGACTTTTTTAAAGGCTTTTGGTAACATTTGCCAACCTGTCTTCAAGAGAGATTAATTTGTTTGTACTCTTCACCAACAGCATTTGAGTATGCCTATGACCTGCATACTGGGTGTAAACTCCATACAAAAGTAAAATAAGAATATGCTAGATAGAGCTTTTGATATACTATGCTAGTTTTACACAGTTAATAATGATAATGCTGTTTTTTGGTATCTAAACTGGTTAATACTGAGCATGTATGTTTTTATTGAAAAACTATATTATTTCTTTTTTTCTTGCATTTGACTTTGATGGCTACAGATTGTATCCAGCCTTCAGTCATCAGACATGTTCGTTCTTGGAGCAACATCCCCTTTATCACTGTACCCCTCAGTCGTACACATGGCAAGTCCTTTGCCCACCGCGGTGAACTGAAGCATGCCAAGAGAATCGTGGTGAAGCTCGGCAGTGCTGTGGTGACCCGAGGGGATGAATGTGGCCTGGCCCTGGGGCGCTTGGCATCTATTGTTGAGCAGGTGATTGCCAAGATAGAAATTATGCTATACTGAAATTGGGGTTTTAAGTTGCTACTTCAAATTGAGTTTAAGTTGCTCATCAACTTATAAAAATAATTGTGATTTCAGTGCAATAGATTTAACCCAATGTGAAAACTGTTTCCCAACGTAGGTGCCAGTGAGAGATGGCATCTTAGGGCAAGAAAAGGGGATGTTAAGGAGTAGGGGTGATTTCATGCAGTTCATGCCGCAGACTTCTTCGTGATAAAGAGCTGTTTCTGTCGGAGATTCTTAGTTCTGGCTATGCAGTAGAATCATCTCGGGCCTGGAGATCTCTGGGATGGGGCTGCTGTGTTTGTCTGTCTTGAGAGGATCTCACTCTGTCACCCAGGCTGGACTGTTGTGGCATGATCATGGCTCACTGCAGCCTCGACCTATCGAGCTCAAGTGATACTCCCACCTCAGCTTCCTGAGTAGCTACAGCTACAGGCACAAACCATTATGCCCAGCTAATTTGTGTAGTTTTTGTAGAGACAGGGGTCTTGCTCTGTTGCCCAGGTTGGTTTCCAACTGCTGGGCTCAAGTGATTCTCCTGCCTTGGCCTCCCAAAGTGCTGGGCCTACAAACTTTTTCTGCAAGAGACCAGATAGTAAATATTTTAGTTTTGTAGGTTATATGTTCTGTGTCTCCACTACACAACTCTGCAGAAGCAACCACAGACAATACATAAATGAATGAGCATGGCCGTGAGCTGATAAAATTTCATTTACAAAAACAGGCAGCATGCCAGATTTGACCAAAAGTAAAAATCCAGACATCCAGGCATCCCACAGATAAAGCAAGAGCTCTTCTATGGCATCTGAAATTTTACACTACCCTCGTAATTAAATTTTCAGTTTTTAAAAAACAACTTTCCTGAGGCGTTAATATTGGGAAACTGCTAACCTGAAACGATACAATTTTTTTCTTACATTTTCTATTCTAAATAATTATCAAGCCTGAGCAACAAAGTGAGACCCTGTCTCTACAAAAATGAAATCGCTGGGTGTGATGACTTGCACCTGTAATCTCAGCACTTTGGAAGGCTGAGGCGGGAGGATTGCTTGAGCCCAGGAGTTCAAGACCAGCCTAAGCCACATAGTGAGACCCCATCTCTACAAAAAATTTTTTAAAAATTAGCCAGGCACGGTGGCACATTCCTGTGGCCCTGGCTACTCAGGAGGCTGAGGTAGGAGGATTGCTTGAGCCTGGGAGGTTGAAGCTGCCATGAGCTATGATCATGCAACTGACTGCACTCCAGCCTTGGTGACAGAGCAAGACCCTGTCTAAAAAAGTTCTGACTTCTTGGTAGGCTGAGGCAGGGGGATTGCTTGAGCCCAGGAGCTCAAGGTTGCAGTGAACTATGATAAAGTCACTGCACTACAGCCTGCGCAACAGAGCAAAATCCTGACCCCCAGTCCCCACCCCCACCCCCCCCCACACACACAAAAACAGCAATAATCAAACCCACCTTCTAGATTGAGTTCATCAGATAAATTTTAAAAATATTTATCAAGAGACTACACTGTGAGGGGCACTAGCCTCTCTATCCTCTCTACCTTAGAGATATAACAGTCTCTACCCTTTGGGAGCCAGAACTGGGACTCCCCAGACATTAAGGTGACTGTTCAGGGCAGTAAATATCCAAATAAGTGGGCCCAAATGACAGTGAGCGATGGGTCCGGAGATGGGAAACTCAGATGAGAGTGTGGTTGTTCCTGGGGCTTCCTAGGAGAGCTGGAACTCAGCCTGGGCCTTGACAACTGATGGGATTTGTACAAACAGAGGGGAAAAGTTCCATGCTAATAAGTATACAGTGTGACATGCTCCTGCAGTTGTGCAGTCCGGTGGTTCTGGGGAATGGACAGGCTCTCAAGCGGATTCCAGATAGAGGATAGACAGGAATGAGTGTGGCATGCTGTGGGCCAGGGAGGAGACAAGCTGGAAAGTAGAGGTGGTCATCTCATTAGAAAGAATGAAAAAAAAAGTGGATCATTGCATTAGGCAGGGCTCTGAAGCCAACTATGTGAGTTGGAGTGCAGTCTCAAAAGCAGACCGAAGATTTTGAACGGAGGAGAAACTTGATGAAAAGAGTAGGAAAAACCTGGTAAAGGTTTGCGTAGGTTACCAGCTTTGTAGGGCTGCATGTGGACCTAATGGAAGAGCTGTCTCCATCAGGGCCTGCCTAATAGTCATCTTACCATGTCAGATGGACTCAGGAACCAACTTAAAGTGGTTTCCACTGGCCATAAATGGGATGATTTGAACATCAAGAAAGGGAATCACAGCTGGGCACAGTGGCTCATACCTGGAATCCCAACACTTTGGTAGGCCAAGGTGGGCGGATCACCTGAGGTCAGGAGTTCAAGACTAGCCTGGCCAACATGGTGAAATCTTGTCTCTACTAATAATGCAAAAATTAGCCAGGCATGGTGGCACCTGCCTGTAATCCCAGCTACTTGGGAGGCTGAGGCAGGAGAATCTCTTGAACCTTGGAGGTGGAGGTTGCAGTGAGACTAAATAGCACTACTGCACTCCAGCCTGGGCGAGAGTGAGACTCATTCTCAAAAAAAAAAAAAAAGGGAATCACTGCACAATGCAACAAAATATGTTTAAATCCATGAGTTCATAATTACACTTAAAAAAAAAAAAAGACTTCACGGACGGGCATGGTGGCTCATGCCTATAATCCCAGCACTTTGGGAGGCCGAGGCAGGCAGATCATGAAGTCAGGAGATCCAGACCATCCTGGCTAACACAGTGAAACCCCGTCTCTACTAAAAATACAAAAAATTAGCTGGGTGTGGTGGTGGGCGCCTGTAGTCCCAGCTACTTGGGAGGCTGAGGCAGGAGAATGGTGTGAACCTGGGAGGCGGAGCATGCAGTGAGCTGAGATTGCACCAGTGCACTCCAGCATAGGAGAGTGAGACTCCATCTCAAAAAAAAAAAACAAAATTTCATTGGCCATTTTTGGAGGGTGCTAGAGAAGCTACTCATTATATTGAAAATGGGTTAGTAAAGGGGAGGAGACACACATTTGTCCTGCTTTTCATAGGCAAACTGTACCTCAGGGTAACCAAATAGTTAGTAAAGGAGAGTTTCCCTTTTGGAATTATTCCAGATTATAAATGAAGGAATCATTGAGTTAGAGTATCAGCATTTTGCAGCTCCTAATGGAATAATGGATCTTGGCAACGATCATCAACAGATGCTAACATCACAAAAAGAAAGATAACCAGGCATTATGTATCTCCTTGATGGATGTGCACACCACAACTTATAAAGACTTGTTGGGGGAAAAAAAAAAGCCTTCATACCAAACATCAGTTTATAGGATATACAAAGTGCAGGATTAACATCATAAGGACACAATTGGGAAAATGTAGGCTGGGAAATCCTAAAGAATAAACAACTCAGTTTAACAAAAATTACAAGGGGGAAAACTGATGGAGAGGGGAACCCATGAATTAAAGAAACTTGAGAGACACTTCAATTAATTTGTAATGCAGGGTTTAATTTGCATCTCAATTTGAGCAAGGAAAAAAATTGGAAAAATATGAACACTGGCTATTTGATATGAAGGAAATCATTGAAATATTCCAGATGATAATGGTTTTGTGGAGAGAGAAATATATATAATTATATGTTATATATAATATATATGATTATCTTTCAGCAGTTATTACTGAACTATTTACAGATGAAATAACATGTCTGTTGCCTGGAATTTGTATTAAAACAATGGTGAGGGTATAGAGCGGTTATTGGAGACTAGGAAATTGGCCATGAGAGATAGTTGGTGAAACTGTGTGGTATGTACATGGGGATTTATAATACTATTGTCACCACTTCGGTTAAATATGAAATTTTCTTTTTTTTTTTTTTAATTTTTATTTATTTATTTTAGAGAGGGGGTCTTGCTCTGTCGCCTAGGCTGGAATGCAGTGGTGTAATCATAGCTCACTGCAGCCCTGAACTCCTGGGCTCAGTTGGGATCCTTCTTTAGCCTCCTGAGTAGCTGGGACTACGGGCACATGCTGCTTGGCTGGTTTTTTTTTTTTTTTTTTTAATTTTTCATAGATATGGGGTCTTACTATTTTGCCCAGGCTGGTTTCGAATTCCTGGCCTCAAGCAATCCTCCCACCTCAGGCAGCTGAAACTTTCTGTGATAAAATATTGTTGTTGGGGCCAGGCACAGTAGCTCACACCTGTAATCCCAGTACTTTGGGAAGCTACTCAGGGGGCTGAGGTGGGGGGATTGCTTGAGTCCTGGAGGTCAGGGTTGCAGTGAGCCGTGATTGTGCCACTGTCCTCCAGCGTGGGTGACAAAGCAAGACCCTGTTTCAAAAATAAAAGTTATTATTGTTTTAAATCATGGTTTATCATAGCTGTTTGTGAGTTCCTGGACCAGTTAAAAGGGTTCAGACATCAGAAGGAAAGGACAGTTTAGGAATATTGACTTTATTGCATCTGAGTCTTTAATTTTTTCATGTAGGTCTGCTTAAGGTAGGAAACAAAATGACCACATTTGGTTCTGGGCAGGCAGAGCAGAACAAGGTCAGCATCTGCCCCTGGTGTAGGCAGAGGCAACCCATAGGATTAGATGTGCCACCAGAACAGCCTCATTTACCTGGGTTAAGCCTTAGAACCTGAGAAGCCATCTGCTGAGTCTACATTGCTTGTCCTACCTGCGGACTTTTATTCTGGGCTTCATTTCTTGGAGCAACTAGGCCTTCTGTATTACACACTCCCTGCAAATATTAGGTTGGCACAAAAGTAATTGTGGTCTTTGCTATTACTGTCAATGGTAATTGACATGCAATTACTTTTGCACCAACTTAATACAATCATGTCCTATAGATGTCAGACTTGGCTAGACACCAGAATTTCCTTATTAAAAATGTCTTACTTAGGCCAGGTGGCTTATGTCTGTAATCCACAGCTTTGGGAGGCCGTGGCAGGAGGAGGGATTGAGACCAGAAGTTTGAGACCAGTCTGGGCAACATAGTGAGATTCCATTTCTACAAAAATGCATTAAAAAAGAAAAATTAGCTGGGCATGGTGGCATGAACCTGTAGTTCCAGCTCCTTGTGAGGCTGAGGCAGGAGGATCACTTAAGCCTAGGCAGCCAAGGCTGCAGTGAGCCACACTCCTGCCACTGCACTCCAGCCTGGGTGACAGAGCAAGACTCTGTCTTAAAAAAATTTTTTTTCTTAGGGTTCTTTTTGTTGTTATTGTTTTTGAGACAGCATCTCTCTCATTCTATTGCCCAGGTTGGAGTGTGGTGGTGCGATCATGGCTCACTGCAGCCTCATCCTCCCTGAGCTCAGGTGATCCTTCTACCTTGGCCTCCCGAGGTAGCTGGCATGCACCACCATGCCTGGCTAAATTTTGTATTTTTTGTAGAGATTGGGTCTTGCCATGTTGCCTGGGTGGTCTTGAACCTCCTGGGCTCAGGAACCTTCTGCCTGCCTTGGCCTCCCAAAGTACTGGGATTACAGGCATGAGCCACCATGCCCAGCCAATTGTTTTAATTAGAAAATAAATTAAAATGTCTGATTTTTATCTGCCACCTGCTAAACAGAAATTTGAGAGAGGATGTAGGAATCTGTGTTTTTACCAGACAGTCTGGTTGATTCTTCCAGAGCCAGCTACATGCTGGTTCATAAACCAGCATTTGGGATCTACTCAATAGTCCACCCTACCTCCATCCCTTGTGAAAAGATGAACGAGACAGTACAGTGACTTGTGATCCCCTTTCCTTTCTCAATGCCAGGTATCAGTGCTGCAGAATCAGGGCAGAGAGATGATGCTGGTGACCAGCGGAGCTGTAGCCTTTGGCAAACAACGCTTGCGCCATGAGATCCTTCTGTCTCAGAGCGTGCGGCAGGCCCTACACTCGGGGCAGAACCAGCTGAAAGAGATGGTGAGTGCTGCTTCCCCACACGTTAAAATGGACCTTCAGGTCTTCTTCCCTCATTCCCTACCACACCTTGTCTCATTGGTATATTACAGGCAATTCCGGTCTTAGAGGCACGAGCCTGTGCAGCTGCCGGACAGAGTGGGCTGATGGCCTTGTATGAGGCTATGTTTACCCAGTACAGCATCTGTGCTGCCCAGGTGAGAGGCTGGGCTTTGAAAGGGGTGTGGGACCTGTAAGGGTGGTTCTTGTGGAACAAAGGGGTCTGGAACTAGTCTACTAGAATATGGTGTCAGCTTCATCACTTGCTACTTGAGAGATCTGAAGAAAGTTTTTTATCTAAGCTTTTTGTGCCTCAGTTTCCTCATCTGAAAATGGGGATAATATCAGTGCCTATTTCAGATAATTTTTGGAAGGGCTCAGTGAGAAAATATATGAAAAGCATTTGGTATAGTGTTTGCTACATAATACATTCTCAGTATTAGCTCGTGTTACCCTAATAACACTTAGGATTAAAGTGCGAACACTTCTGAAGACAGAGAAGTTAAACGGCTTTATCTCGCTGCTGCTTTGATTTCAGGTGGCTTGCTTCTCTTTGCGTGTGGTTGGTTGCCTTTTATAGCAGATACTTACTAAGCTTTGCAGGGAAAGAGGAATGCTGGTGGGTGGCTGGTTTTTCACTCATTCAGCAAATATTTATTGAGCACCTATGGTGTATCTAGCAGTCTTGGGCATTGGGGATACTGTGGTGAACAAATCAGACATGATTCCAGTCGTCATGGGACTTACGAATTTTTGGTGGCTACCCCTAAATGTTCTAGAACCTTCTTTCTGCATTGTTTCATTTTTACCTAAATCTCCTGAATTTTTTTGAATTATATTCTTAATCAACTGTACAGCTACACACTAGAGACACCTAAATAGCAGTCACTTCAGGAAACAACTGAAAAAAAATCTAACTCCCAAATTATTTTGTTTTGAAACCCCTTTACCTATAAAGATGTAAAATAGCCGTTATTTTATATTATGGATATTATTTTACATGTGCACTACATGTGAGGATGTTATTTTACACCAGTGATGTTGTTATGTATACATATATTGTTTCAGGTTTTGCTTCTTCATTTCCTGTTACTTTTTTTTTGTTTCTTCTTCATTTGCCTGTTTGTACCCACAGTGATGTTCTGGTATTACACCAGAGTGTCCTCATGTCAGTGAGTTAAAACAGAAAGGCATGGGCTTGTCCCATTGCCTATGACTGGGGACCGTACTTTCTGTAATCTTAGCTTTTTTCTCTTAGTATACATGCAATATAAATCTCTATTTCTATCACTCTTCTTAATTATCTGCTTTCTCGTCTCCACAGTCCAATGACAGTTTTGGTCTTTAATTTTTTTAAAGTGCCTGGAGCTGGGTGAGGAAGCTCAAGTCCAAGAGCTATGGTTTTGCTGTGGTTTGGTTTTTCCCAGGGATGATACTTTTTGAGAGTTTGTTTTTGTTTTGTTTTGTTTTGAATGACAGTAGCATGAAGAGTCCGTGCAGTATCAGCCATTGTTTCCATTTACACTGAGTGAAAGAAGAGCTCTGCCCCTCCGGTTCCCAACAAGCTTCAATCCCTGGGCTGTTTCCTCTCACACCTGTGTCTTCCCCCAAGGCCATCATATCTACAGAAAATATTTGCCCTTTGTAACTTATCCTGTGGTTCCTTATTTTCTTCAGTAATATTATATAGAACACCATTATCAGTGGCTTTTGAAAACTTCCAGTAGGTAGTTTGCCAGGTTAAAGACTTCAACACTTAAAACAGCTTGTTTTTTCTTTGTAGAAGGGAAACTGATTTTCCCTCAACAGATTGCCCTTGTCTAAACACGTACATTTCCCTCTTGGGACTCTTTATCTCCTACCTTAGTGCTGAGATCCCCAGGCCATGTTTGTGAAGCTATTTTAGTGACAGGTATTTTTCTTGGACCTTTAGACCTCCTGCTTGTCTCTCCTACCCACGGGTTTATATTAATTGTTCGATCTTTCCCCATCATGACTAGAATCTGTATGTTCAGCTTTGACCTAGTCCTGTGTCCAGCAGAACTAAGCTTTTCTGAAAAGGAGTTCATGATCTTCCCGTTCAGAAATATGCCCCATTTTGTTTTTCCCCAAACCATCAACATTCTTATTCTCCCTTCCAGCAACTAGACCCTGGCATTTCAGAGGTACTTAACAAATTTTTTATCAAGTGAGTGAGTGAATTATTTTTCTATGTATGTTTCCTGTGTTTTATATATCATTAAGGCTACTGTTTTATTGCTATATTCTTCTTAGTTACCATAGCCAGACCCTTAACCATCCTCACTTTGACTGTTTCAGTGCCTGCTTTCTTTACTATTTGCTTCCAACTTTTCCTACCTCAGCCTGCCCTACATAGCAAGAACCCTCTTCCGTAAACATTAGAGAGATTACATTATTTACTCTTGAGCCTCAAGGTTTGTTGCCATTTAGTTTCTTGCTATCTCCATTTACCCATTTATCTTTTTCTCCTAAACATTGCATAAAATTCTAGTTCAAGCTAGAAAGCAGGGCTGTTTACCAGCCCACACGCCCATCTCCATTGTACCTTTGAGCACCTTATGCTCATCTCCTCCCTTGAACCAAGTTGTGTTCTGCCCCTCTTTCAGCTTGTGACTAAAGACTAACCTCCACATGCTCAGGCTAAATTTCTCAGGCTAACCCCACATGCTCACACACAGTCTTAGTTAACTCCAGTAATAGTCTGCTTCAGAGCAAGAGCAGTGATAACACAACCCTGTTCCATTTTGTCTAACACACTTTTCTAAGCAGGGAAAATAATTTATTCATTCACTCGCCAAATATTTAAGGGCCTACTATGGCCAGGCCCTGAATCAGATCCTAGGATACAGAGATGTTTTAGAAATTGCTGGGGCACAGCAGTGTGCGTCTTTAGTCCCAGTTACTCAGGAGGCTGAGGTGGGAGGATCACTTGAGACGAGGAGTTCAAGTCCAGCCTGGACAACAGAGCAAGACCCTCTCTATAAAAAAAAGAAAAGAAAGAAAAGAAATTAATGAATAATCACTGACTCCCCCAGTATTCCTCTAAAAATAGATACATTAATTTCTTAATTTTGCAAATGGATGAGATTTTGGGATTTGTTAGCTCTCTGAGGATTAAAGTACTTTTGCAAGAAGTCTTGAACATTCTTACATAAATCTTTCAGATTATTGTAATTTTTTTTTTATCTCTACAAGAATTGGGTCCAGGTGCAGTGGGTCACAACTGTAATCCCATCACTTGAGGCCAGGAGTTCAAGACCAGTCTGGCCAACATGGCAAAACCCTGTCTCTACTAAAAATACAGAAATTAGCTGCGCGTGCCTATAATCCTAGCTACTTGGAAAGCTGAGGCATGAGAATTGCTTGAACCCAGGAGGTGGAGGTTGCAGTAAGCAGAGATTATGCCACTGCACTACAGCCTGAGCAACAGAGTAAGACCCTGTCTTGAAGAAAACAAAGAATTGGATAGCACCCAGATATGCATATTTCATTCTAATCTGTATGGGACCCCAGAAACCTACAGTTTAACTCCCCTACTCTTAGCATCTTTTGTATACTGGGAAGTTTAGCATTTTTCTCCCTCCTGCATTTTCCATCTATTTAATCCTTTTAGATTTTGGTGACCAATTTGGATTTCCATGATGAGCAGAAGCGCCGGAACCTCAATGGAACACTTCATGAACTCCTTAGAATGAACATTGTCCCCATTGTCAACACAAATGATGCTGTTGTCCCCCCAGCTGAGCCCAACAGTGACCTGCAGGGGGTAAATGTGGGTAAAGTATTTCTAAAGGTTAAGCATGCTGGAGACACTAACACCATGCTCTGCTGCATGCACTAACACCGGAAGTTTGGCATAAACAAGATGGAAAAGCTGTGAGAGAAACTGTTGTCATGGAGCAGTGACTGCATAAGCTCTTCTGAACTTGTGGTTGCATTCAACAGGGTGAGGTGCTATAGTCACTTAAGATGGTGCAATGAGCATGGCTTGTATATTTCAGTGGCTAGAAGACTGCATGTTTGGAAAAGGGATTGCCAGTTAACACTGTGTTTTGCAGACAGAAGGGGCCTGCAAGAGCTGTCATCTATATATTTGGGTTCATTGGTTTTGCCTGAGCCTAGCTTGGTTTTGCCTGAGCTTGGCTGGGTGCTTCCATGAATTTCTGTTTGGACTGCTTAGCTCACTCACTTATGACTTTTTAATCTGCATTCTAGGTTATTAGTGTTAAAGATAATGATAGCCTGGCTGCCCGACTGGCTGTGGAAATGAAGACTGACCTCTTGATTGTTCTTTCAGATGTAGAAGGTACAAAGTAATGCTTTTTTCTTTTATCTGCCCTTTGTTTTAAATGCTACATGTATGAGCACGTGAGTTTCCCTCTTTCTTTGCGTCCCTCTGATCTATTTTTTGCTATAGATCATTAGCCATGTGTTCAGACAAAGGGCTTTTATGAATCAAAACAGGGTGGGCGAGTCTAAGAGATGTAGTTTGAATACTGAAATGTTATTTCCAGGTGCTTTCAGTTGTTTTTCTTAAATAACAGCTTTATAGAGATATAATTCACATATCTTACAATTCACTTATTTGAAGTTTACAATTCTGTCCTGGCGTGGTGGCTCACACCTATAATCCCAACACTTTGGGAGGCCAGAGCCAGAGGATCACTTGAGCCCAGGAGTTCGAGATCAACCTGGGCAATATAGTGAGTCCTTGTTTCTACAAAAAATAGAAAAGTTAGCTGGACATGGTGGTATGCGCCTATGGTTCCAGCTACTCGGGGCTGAAGCAGAAGGATCACTTGGACCTGGGGGTTCCAGGCTGCAGTGAGCAGTTATTGCGCCACCATACTCCAGCCTGGGTGACAGAGCGAGACCCTATCTCAAAAATAAATAAATAAAGTGTACAATTCAGTGATGTTTAGTGTATTTACATAATTGTGCAACCAAAACCACAGTCATTTGTAGAACACTTTCTCTTTCATCACCCCAATAAGAAACTCCATAACCATTAGCAGTCACTCCCCACTTCTACCCAAACTCCCTATCTTTAGGCAATCTCCAGTATACTTTCTGTTTCCGTGGATTAACCTGTTCTGGACATTTTATTTAAATGGCTTCATATATTATGGTGGCCCTTTGTGACTGGCTTTTTTCACTTAGCACGTTTTCATGGTTCATCTATTTTACAGCATGTATCAATACTTCATTTTTTTAATTGCTGAATAATATGCCACTCTGTGACCATGTTTTATTTGTCAGTTCATCAATTGATGGACATTAGCTGTGAACATTCATAACACGTTTTTGTGTGAACATGTTTTTATTTCACCTAAGAGTAGAACTGCAGGGTCACATGGTAACTCTGTTTAAAAGACTTTTGAGGAACTACTGGACTGTTTTCCAAAGCAGCTGTACCATTTCATATTCTCACCAGCATTGTATGAAGGTTCTAATGTGTTTATATCATTGCTGTTATTCAGTTGTTTTTATCTGCCTTTTTTATTATAGCTATCCTAGTGGGTGTGAAGTAGTATCTCATTGTGGTTTTGATTACTTTCAGTTTTTAATGTAAACCATAGGACAGATTATGGGTTTTTTTGTTTGTTTTGTTTTGCTTTATTTTGTTTTGTTTTGTTTTTTTTCTTTTTCTTTGTTGGGACAGATTGTTTTAAGTTGGAGCCACTGTAGAAGTCTAGGCTATCTGGCTACTATGTTCTTATATGTTGCTCTGTTCTTCTCTGCTGTTCCCTTCTTCCTGGAGGGGCCACTCTTGGCTCTAATATGTCTTTCCATTCACTCTTCTCAAGCTTCCTTAAGCTATTTCCATTTCACAGTCTGACCCATAAGAAATATAGTAACTGTGTCCAGAATCAAGGATTCCAGAAGTCCGCTGTTACATTCCCAGAAGGTTAGAACACCCCTACTTAATTCCCAGCCCACACCAAGGCAGGTTAACATGGGAAGACCTGTTGTCTGTTTGACGCTCAGGCGGTTGTATGGTAAGGGCAGGGGCTACCTAGTGGAGGCAGGGGCAGACATAGATGAATTGATCTGTCTTTGCCCATGTGGAAAGTCAAAGATAAGACACCTACATGTCAATGTCTTTACCTGTAAGAAGTCTTAGTCCTGTGTTATCCACTGTAATTTGAAGTCCCAGGATAGGAACAGCTAAGTTGGAGAAAGTGTGAGCCACCCTGGAGAAAGAAGGCATTTTGGTTAATCAGCGGGTTTTCTATTCATTTTTCCCCTCAAGACGGAGTCTTGCTCTGTCGCCCAGGCTGGAGTGCAGTGGCACGATCTCGGCTCACTGCAACCTCCGCCTCCCGGTTTCAAGTGATTCTCCTGTCTCAGCCTCCCAAGTAGCTGGGATTACAGGCGTGTGCTACCATGCCTGGCTAATTTTTGTATTTTTAATAGAGACGGGGTTTCATCATGTTGGCCAGGCTGGTTTCGAACTCCTGACCTTGTGATCCGCCCACCTTGGCCTCCCAAAGCACTGTGATTACAGGCGTGAGCCATGGGGCCTGGCCAATCAGCAGGTTTTTACTGAATGTCTACTATGAGCACATAGTGTGCTAGGTGCTTGATAAATGTAATTTATTCAATCTTTATAGCAACCCTACAAAGTAGGTAGTAGGTAGGTTAACTCAATTTTACAGATAAAGAAATTAAAAATTAAGTTCAAACTGGACACGTGGCACATGCCTGTAATCCCAGCTACTTGGGAAGGCTGAGGCAGTAAGATCACTTGAGCCCAGGAAGTTGAGGCTGCAGTGAACTGTGATCATGCCACCTCACTGCAGCCTGAGTGACAGAAACAGAGACCCTATTGGGGGAGGAGAGGGGAGAGAAGAAGAAATAATTTTTTAAAATTTAATTTAAAATTAGATTAAGATCTATTAAATGGTATATCTAAAGTCACATAGCAAGTGCTTGACAGAGGCCAGTTTCAAATCTGAGTCTGTTCAATTAAAAAAGCTACACTCTTCCTTCTCTCTTATACTGCCTGACAAGTTAAAAAAAAAAAAAAGAAAAGTAGGTTTTCGAGATTAATTTATAAAACCCAATTTAAACAACACTCTAGCAAATCATTTTGATGCAGCTTCAAGCACCAAAATCGGGTCACTGGTAGACTGGCATTCTTACTGTGATTATCCTAATTCGTTTTCTACTGAGTGTTGATTTTTTAGAACAGTATCTGAATTTTAACTATGCTCTTGGTGGGGTAAAGGGAAAGGAGGAGTAGGCACATTATCAGCATGCTAGGAACCCTTCACTGTCTTTGGAGAAGGTTTGGCTAGAATTGTCCACTCTTTCCTATACTAATATATGAAACTGAAACAACTTCCAAATCTAAATCTGTGATCTCACAGCACTGTATCTTCTGGGAGGATCCTAACCCTAAATCCTGGAGAGCTGTGGAGTAGTAGGTTGAGATTGACAGATTGTGAAAAGTTATTTTTTCTTTTCTTGTAGTAATTTGCACTGCTTATGGTTGTCACTGCTCTGCTCTACAATGGGCATCGATTTCCTCTCTTCCCTGATTCACTTACTCCCTCAGAGAGGTAGTATGTAGCAAGATTGTCTTAAAGGTTTGGAGTAATGGAGGGGAGAGGTATATTATAGCACAGGAAAAGCAGTAACTTGAAACCAGAAAAATCACTGCCCAAAATGTCCTTCAGCCAGTCCCCAGCCTTCCCATCTGTGTCCACTTTAGGTCTTGACTTAACTCCAGTTTCTTAGCCCCCTGTTACCCCCCCTTTTTCTTTTCCAAGCTCCTACTCACTCTTTTTCAAAGTGAAATTGTGAGGATTTTTCATCTTGGATTGTATGCATGTAACGTTTCATGTAACTATTTTATGTCACTCCACTTAGTTATAAAAGGGACATGTGCTTTATGGTAATAAATTCAGATTGAATGTCAAGAGTCATGCAGTCTCCTGCTGACTCAGCCTAACCTCTACAGTGACTCACTCATAAAATTGGGAGTGTAAATTGGTGACTGTTTCAAAGGGTACTGTGAGAGTTAATGAGTACCTCTGTTGCATTTCATCCTGCTTGGAAACAGTCACATTTAACAGTATATGGCTACTATGCCATTTCTGCAATAGCCACCCTTCTTTTTCAGTTCTGTCCTTAAAGCACAACATCATAAGTAGCAATGGCAGAATTAAGGATACCTTGCCAGGGATATGGGCAGGGCTAATAAATGTGCCAAGGATATGGCCATGGTCTGATGTGGGGAAACATTTATCTATCAAGCCAGGTTATAGGAGTATATAAGGTGAGTCCTCCTGGAGCTGTTTGTCAGTGTCGAATCCTTTGTTCTCTTTTTCTGGTTAAAGCAGGTGGTAGTGCAGTGGCATTCATTTGGATGAGTAAAGTACAGAGTGATTGGCAGGTGCCCTGGGGAGGCCTGTCTTGGAGACACTTCCATCAAAGCAGTATTACTGACTCTTGTCTATTTTTTAGGCCTTTTTGACAGCCCCCCAGGGTCAGATGATGCAAAGCTTATTGATATATTTTATCCCGGAGATCAGCAGTCTGTGACATTTGGAACCAAGTCTAGAGTGGGAATGGGTGGCATGGAAGCCAAGGTAAGAATCTGGTACCTTAACTGCCTATAACAATTTTAAAGCCCAAACTGTATTGTATCCTTTTTACTTTTGTAATTATTTGGGGGTTAATGGTTCAGATAGTAGGCACATACACACTTAAATATGTACATACCTAAATATAGATTTATTGAGTGTTGTATTCCAACATTTAGTTATGTCTGTGTATGTGGGTTTTTTCCATTAATATTGTATGAACAGTGTGTTCATGTTGTAAACTCTGCAAGGGCAGGGCCTATATATTTTTCATAATTCATAAATCTCTCATTTATCAGTTCAAATATTTCTTGATGAAATCTTTCAAAAATTTTGTCCCATTAATTGTTCTTAGAAGTTACACCCCTATGGTACAGCATCACATGTATCAACAGCACAGATGATGACAAGATCCCCACTTAGAAAAACCGAAAGTACTCAAGATCAGACTCTGGTCAAACCCCAGCCTGTTGGTCTCCTTAGTTGTTTCTAAGTTGAGGCACAGTAAATCAAATGTAGTAGTTATGAGTCCCATACTAGGGAGACTGAAGAGAGAACAGACTGGAAACAAAGGATAGGTTGGCTTACCTTTAAGTAACACATGCCAAGGTTGAGCTGGAAAGTGTGTGAGCTGTAATGTGTTTTCGGAGCTTCTAAGCTTTTAAAAACACATTTCGTATACTTAAGTTGTTCAATATCAACTTGTATTTTATATCTTTTTGCAAGTTTAAAATGTGGGTGAGTAGGTCTGAATCTCATGTTTACTGGATCTAACCTGTCTCATTAGGTGAAAGCAGCCCTCTGGGCTTTGCAAGGTGGCACTTCTGTTGTTATTGCCAACGGAACCCACCCAAAGGTGTCTGGGCACGTCATCACAGACATCGTGGAGGGGAAGAAAGTTGGTACCTTCTTTTCAGAAGTAAAGCCTGCAGGTAAATAGTTCTTCATAAGGTCCCAAGTCCTGTGATAGGAACTAGTGACACCTGGCTTAGTTAGAGATCACAGAATTGATATGCTAATATTTCGAAATACGGCATTATTTTGAGCACTATTTGCAAAATTGGATTTTGCTTTGCTTTTGTGAAATTCTGTCTAATCTGCCTAGCTAGGCCTATTCTCTGTACAATCACTCGGTTAAAGTATATAAGCATTGATTTTCTCAGAAACATTTGCTAGGCCTATGTTAGATGCCAGGTAGTAATAAGCACTAGAGATGCAAAGATGCATATGATATAGTATGTACTGTCGAGTGTTTGCAAAGGACAGAATTACCTCATAATCTGCATTCAGAAATGTAAACACATTAAAAAGTATCGCCGAAGTGGAATTCAGAAGAATTCTAGAAAACTTAAAATATATTGTCTACCCCAGAAATACAGGCAAGTTCTTATGTTTATGCCCAAGTGAATCTGGCACATTCTTTTGCTATTTTATTGGTCATACTGATCCCCTGTGTGAAACAAGCGTCATGTGTTCCTTCTGTGGGCATGATGAGCCTGTGCAAGTGCTGGCAAAGTGAGAGAGATCTAAGGTGACCAGGACCTGATATTTGCACATATTCTTGCAGGCCCTACTGTTGAACAGCAGGGAGAAATGGCTCGATCTGGAGGAAGGATGTTGGCCACCTTGGAACCTGAGCAGGTAATAACCTTAGCTGATAGTATTGTTACAGTTTTGTCATGCTGTATGATTACAGGAGTCAAACCTGCTGACTCCGTCTTTATTCCTAGTGAGCCATAGAGTTATCTGAGTTACAAGTCTGATTCATATTTGCTCTGCCTTTTTTCTTTTTCTTAATTTTATTTTCTCTTTTATCTTTTATAGACAGAAGCCCAAGATAACTTTTCATCACTATGATGTTTTGATCAAAAGCATTATAAAAATGATGAGATTAGGAAGGTTACCTAATTCTGCCACATACTGGGCATGGAAATGTGGGAAAATTGCTTATCCCAACCCATTCCAAATCCCCTGACTTGCCTGGAAGATGGGAAGCTCGAGAGCCTGCTCCCTAGTTGTAGCCCTGACCTGTCTGGCATGAATTAGTCTAAGTAGCAAACATGAGGCTGGAAGTGGTGAGGAGGTCAAGTGGAAGCTGGGAGCTGGTCCCCCAGGGATTATATTGTCGAGGATGGATTTGAGAGTAAGGATGTATATGCGTTTATACTAGTGAATCCTTTGGCCTGAGAAAAGAGAAAGTAACTCCAACAGCAAAGAAAGGAAAGCAGAGGAGGAGCCTAGCTTACCTTTCAAACCACTTCCCTCTACTCCTCCAATAATCAGCATACTTATTTGCCACATTTCCTAATCTAGCAGGGTCAGGTTTGGGGTGTCTTCAAGTACCTAGGACTGAATTTTTTCACTTTGATTAAATGCTTTAAATAAATAATTTACGAGGAAGAACCAGATATAAGAACTTACCTGGAAATAAACCAGTTAATGATATTAAATAAGTAAGACTCTATGTATCGTGTTACTTCAAAGTCCTGGCCCCTGTACAGTTACATAATCTCCTACAGATTATACAATTTTTTTTTTTTTTTTGAGACGGAGTCTTACTCTGTCACCCAGGCTGGAATGCAGTGGCCAGATCTCAGCTCACTGCAAGCTCCGCCTCCCGGGTTTACGCCATTCTCCTGACTCAGCCTCCTGAGTAGCTGGGACTACAGGCGCCCGCCACCTCGCCCGGCTAGTTTTTTGTATTTTTTAGTAGAGACGGAGTTTCACCGTGTTTGCCAGCATGGTCTCGATCTCCTGACCTCGTGATCCGCCCGTCTCGGCCTCCCAAAGTGCTGGGATTACAGGCTTGAGCCACCGCGCCCGGCCAGATTATACAATGTTTTACAGATTGTATCCATCATGCCCCTTCCCCGCCTCCTTTTTTTTTTCTTATGACTCCTGATTATTATAATTAGCCATGGTTTGCTAATTATAATAATCAGGAGTCATAAGAGAAAAAAAAGAGAGGAAAAGTGAGAAGTGACTTCGGGGTTGGCAATGAGAGAGGAAGGAAGAAATAAGGGGAGCAGTGGTGGGAATAAGTGACGGGAAGTCAGGAGATTTCAGTCAGTGGTGACCTTGGATGTGGGAGCAAGGCCTGGCACTCTCAGAAGAGTAGGTTTAAAAACTGGTGTGCATTCTTCTTGGATTAACATCTCTGTTTTTTTAATGGTGTACCTTTTTTCTAGAGAGCAGAAATTATCCATCATCTGGCTGATCTGTTGACGGACCAGCGTGACGAGATCCTGTTAGCCAACAAAAAAGACTTGGAGGAGGCAGAGGGTAAAGACCAGACAATTTAGAGTCAATGTTATGGAGGGGTGTGGGTTATTTTGATTTTTGATATTACTAGTAATTCTTATGTCCGCCTAAAGATAAGGATTGTTATAAAAGAAATTGTGCATTATATATCATTTCCATTGTGGGTAGGTGGGTGATCGGTATTCTTCTTCCCCAGATACTTTAGTACAATCCCCAAAGGAACTTTTTTCATTCCCCGCAGGTCACAAGTTGTGGCTACTATGGCAGTCAGGACAAAAAAGAACAAGATTGAGAACACCACTACTTAAGACATTCAGCTAATAGCTAACATTTATTGAGGTCTTTCTGTATTGACAGGCACTGTGCTAAGGGCTCTACAGTCAGGATGTCATTTAATCTTCATAACATAGTGCCTCTGAGATAGCTGCTACTTATTATCCCCATTTGACAGAGAAGGAAACTGAAGCTCAGAGAAGCGTCACTTGCCCAAAGCCATATGGTCAGTGATGGACCAGGATTTAAACAACGATGGACTGTACATGTGAAAGAGTTGTAGAAATAGTTTGTGCAGCCTGTGAAGAAAGATAGCTTGTTTCTTAATTAACCAGTCTTTTGTCTTCCCTAAGTTAGCACCAGGTGCCATCCAGAAATACCCTTGAGGTGCTAATGGTAAAGTAAGATGTTAAACTCACATTGTGAACACCTAGAGATGTAGCGTGTCAGGGCCCTGACTCTTTCTCTTCTTTTTCTCAATTCTGTCCTTTCCACCTTAAAATAAGAGGGATTGATTTTATGGGGTTTTGAATTTCCTCTGCATTATCTTGAACATCTATATTAATGGTGTTTGTTTCAAGGAAATTTTGCAAGGTTCAACAACATTACTTTCGTTCCTTAAAACATTTTTGAACCATTGTTTTAGAACCTCCTCTAGAATTTACATCTCATTTTTATAGTATTACAAAACATACAATAGATTTTCAGAACTGGAAGAAATATTTGATACTATCCACTCATTAATTTAAAGTAAAAGAATTAAGACCCACAGAGAGTAAAGCTGTTGTTGCCCGAGGTTCCACAGCTTGTTGTTGGCAGAACTTTGACTCCTGATCCCAGCTGTACGTCTCTGAACATGCATAAGGACACACAGTGGGTTGAGAACAAAGCCTTGGGTATACGTGTGCGTGGCTTAGCAATCCCAGTTCAGGGAATTTATCCTCAAAAACTATTTCTAAAGAAAATAGGTCTTTAGGCCAGGTGCGGTGGCTCACGCCAGTAATCCCAGCACTTTGAGAGGCCAGGATGGGTGGATCATCTGAGGTCATGAGATCGAGACCAGCCTGGCCAACATGGTGAAACCTCATTTCTATAAAAATACAAAACTTACGGCTGGGTGCAGTGGCTTACGTCTGTAATCCCAACACTTTGGGAGGCCGAGGTGGGCGCATCACCTGAGGTCGGGAGCTTAAGACCAGCCTGACCAACATGGAGAAACCTCATCTCTACTAAAAATACAAAATTAGCTGGGCATGGTGGTGCATGCCTGTAATCCTAGCTACCCAGGAGGCTGAGGCAAGAGAATCGCTTGAACCCGGGAGGCGGAGGTTGCCGTGAGTCGAGGTGGCACCATTGCACTCCAGCCTGGGCACCAAGAGCAAAACTCCATCTCAAAAAAAAAAAAAAAAAATGCCGGCCATGATGGCTCAAATTTGTAATCCCAGCTACTCGGGCGGCTGAGGCAGGAGAATCGCTTGAACCTAGGAGGCAGTGGTTACAGTGAGCTATCACGCTACTGCCCTCCAGCCTGAGCAGCAGAGCAAGACACCATCTCAAAAAAAAAAAAAAAAAAAAGAAAAGAAAATAGCTCTTTATCTAAAGATTTTTAGAGCAGGATTTATCACACTGAAAAACTGGAAACAAGCTGAGCATTTAATAACATAGGTGTGGTTAAGTGTGTTCAGCTGTATCAAATTAATGGAATATTTAGTAGTAATTAAGATAATTTTTGCAACATGGAAAATGTACTTGGGTTGTGAGGTGAAAAGCTAGGATGTAACATTTAACATACACTATAATTAAAACTTTTTTTTAGCATGTGGGGAAAAGTAAAGAAAATTAATTAATTTGTATAATTGGTTGGTAGAAAGATGGTTTAATTTTTTTTTCTTAATATAAGGTCAGTTGCTTCCCCCCAAGGCAGAAATGTTTTTGTTATTTTATCTTGGTGGCTGTGACTGTAAAAAAAGGAAAGGGAAAATTTTTGTAATCTCAACATTGACCACAGTAATGATTTGTGATATATGATTTCAAATGGTTTTCCTGAGTATATGCATGTATATATATGAATATGTACAAACATGTTTGTGCGTGGAGAGAGGGAATCACACCGTGTATACTACTGTTTTTAAAGAAAATTCTGGGCCGGGCGCAGTGGCTCATGCCTGTAATCCCAGCACTTTGGGAAAGGCCGAGGTGGGTGGATCTTCAGGAGATCAAGACCATCCTGGCTAACACAGTGAAACCCTGTCTCTACTAAAAATATAAAAAATTAGCTGGGCATAGTAGCAGGAGCTTGTAGTCCCAGCTACTTGGGAGGGTGAGGCAGGAGAATGACTTGAACCTGGGAGGCGGAGCTTGCAGTGAGCTGAGATAGCGCCACTGCACTCCAGCCTGGGCAACAGAGCGAGACTCAAAAAAATAAAAAAATAAAATTCTACCTATGAGCTTGCCATAATTCTATTTTTTTTTCGGCCAAGTGTGGTCGCTCATACTTGTAATCCCAGCACTTTGGGAAGTGGAGACAGAAGGATCACTTTAGCCCAGGAGTTCGAGACAAACCTGGGCAACATAGTGAGACCCCTATCTCTACAAAATATGTTTTAAAATTGGCCAGGCATGGTGGCTCATGCCTGTAATCCCAACACTTTGGGAAGCCGAGGCGGGTGAATCACGAGGTCAGGAGTTCAAGACCAGCCTGGTCAACATGGTGAAACCCCATCTCCACTAATAATACAAAAATTAACCGGGCATGGTGGCACACACCTGTGGTCCCAGCTACATGGGAGGCTGAGGCAGGAGAATTGCTTGAACCTGGAAGGCAGAGGTTCCAGTGAGCCGAGATTGTGCCACTACACTCTAGCCTGGGCAACAGAGCGAGACTCCTCAAAAAAAAAAAAAAAATACATGTTTTAAAATTAGCCAGCCATGGTGATACATGCCTGTAGTCTTAGCTACTCTGGAGACTGAAGCAGGAGGATCACTTGAGCCCAGGAGTTCAAGGCTGCAATAAGCTATGATTGTACCACTGCACTCTAGCCTCAGTGACACACTGAGACCCTGTCTGTAAAAGAAAAAAAGCAAAAAAATTCTTTTTTAAAATTCTGTTCTCCTTCCCAAAATATTTAACATTTTATTTTAGAAGAAAACATCTTTGTTGGTTCTGATTATAAAAATAATTCACTCATTATAAAAAAATAAAATAATATAGAAAGATAGATTATTACTTTTCTGGATGCATTCCAGATTTCTTCCTGTGCACACATATATGTGCAGTGTTTGATAAATAGGATCATATCGTACATGCTGTTGTATAGTTTGCTTTTTTCGTAGACTATATCCTAGATAGCTTTCCATGTCAGTGAACCTAGGTATAGTCTTTATAATAACTGAATTATAAACCATTGTCTGAATATTTAGGTAGAATTCAATTTCTCAGTATTACAACAATGTTGTGGTAAGTATCCTCATTATATACCTGCCTGTTCATACAAATGATAAATTTCTGGAACTGAAATTGCTGGGACAAAGGGTATCAGGGTACACAGCTTTACATGATGCTATGTACTGCCAAATGGACGCCTAAGAAAGACAGTCTAAGTGGTATGTCATTGTCTTCCTGAGTCTGTTCCTAATGCAGTCCCACATGTTCAGTAAAACATCAAGACACATCAGTTGGGCCAGGCACGGTGGCTTGCACTTGTAATCCCAGCACTTTGGGAGGTCGAGGCGGGCAGATCACTTGAGGTGTGGAGTTCAAGATCAGCTCGGCCAACCTGGTGAAACCCCATCTCTACAAAAATGAGCCAGACCTGGTGGCACATGCCTGTAGTCCCAGATACTAAGGAGGCTGAGGTGGGAGAATTGCTTGAACCCAGGAGGCGGAGGTTGCATTGGGCCTAGATCATGCCCCTGCACTCCAGCCTGGGCGTCAGAGTAAGACCCTGTCTCAAAAAAAAAAAAAAGACGCATCAGTTGGTAGCTGCAGCCTGCCAGGTCTGCTACTTCATCATATCCTCTTAATGGCTTTTCAGGGAGACTTGCAGCTCCTCTGCTGAAACGTTTAAGCCTCTCCACATCCAAATTGAACAGCCTGGCCATCGGTCTGCGGCAGATCGCAGCCTCCTCCCAGGACAGCGTGGGACGTGTTTTGCGCCGCACCCGAATCGCCAAAAACCTGGAACTGGAACAAGTGACTGTCCCAATTGGAGTTCTGCTGGTGATCTTTGAATCTCGTCCTGACTGCCTACCCCAGGTGTGTATATACCCCAGGTGAATAAATACCCTGCCACTGGGGGCTGGTGCAGATACTGGAGGAAGAATATATATGTCTGTGTGTGTGTGTGTGTATATATATATTTTTTTATTATACTTTAAGTTCTAGGGCACATGTGCACAACGTGCAGGTTTGTTATATAGGTATACATGTGCCATATTGCTTTGCTACACCCATCAACTCATCATGTACATTAGTTATTTCTCCTAATGCTATCCCTCCCCCAGTCCCCCACCCCCTGACAGGCCCCAGGGTGTGATGTTTCCCGCCCTGTGTCCAAGTGTTCTCATTGTTCATTTCCCACCTATGAGTGAGAATGTGCGTTGTTTGGTTTTCTGTCCTTGTGATAGTTTGCTGAGAATGATGGTTTCCAGCTTCATCCATGTCCCTGCAAAGGACATGAACTCATCCTTTTTTATGGCTGCATAGTATTGAATGGTGTATATGTGCCACATTTTCTTAATCCAGTCTATCATTGATGGACATTTGGATTGGTTCCAAGTCTTTGCTATTGTGAATAGTGCCGCAGTAAACAGACATGTTCATGTCTCTTTATAGTAGCATGATTTATAATCCTTTGGCTATATACCCAGTAATGGGATCACTGGGTCAAATGGTATTTCTAGTTCTAGATCCTTGAGGAATCGCCACACTGTCTTCCACAATGGTTGAACTAATTTACACCCCCACCAACAGTGTAAAAGTGTTCCTATTTCTCCACATCCTCTCCAGCATCTATTGTTTCCTGACTTTTTAATGACTGCCATTCTAATAGGCATGAGATGGTATCTCATTGTGGTTTTGATTTGTATTTCTCCGATGACCAGTGATGATGAGCATTTTTTCCTGTGTCTGTTGGCCGCATAAATGTCTTCTTCTGAGAAGTGTCCATATCCTTTGCCCACTTTTTGATGGGGGTGTTTTTTTCTTGTAAATTTGTTTAAATTCTTTGTAGATTCTGGATATTCGCCCTTTGTCAAATGGGTAGATTGCAAAAATTTTCTCCCATTCTGTAGGTTGCCTGTTCACTCTGATGGTAGTTTCTTTTGCTGTGTAAAAGCTCTTTATTTTAATTAAATCCTGTTTGCCTATTTTGGCTTTTGTTGTCATTGCTTTTGGTGTTTTAGTCATGAATTCCTTGCCCATGCCTATGTCCTGGATGGTATTGCCTAGGTTTTCTTCTAGGGTTTTTATGGTTTTAGGTCTAACATTTAAATCTTTAATCCATCTTGAATTAATTTTTGTATGAGGTGTAAGGAAGGGATCCAGTTTCAGCTTTCTACTTATGGCTAGCCAGTTTTCCCAGCACCATTTATAAAATAGGGAATCCTTTCCCCATTTCTTGTTTTTGTCAGGTTTGTCAAAGATCAGATTGTTGCAGATGTGTGGTGTTATTTCTGAGGCCTCTCTTCTGTTCCATTGGTCTATATCTCTGTTTTGGTACCAGTACCATGCTGTTTTGGTTATTGTAGCCTTGTAGTATAGTTTGAAGTCAGGTAGCGTGATGCCTCCGGCTTTGTTCTTTTTACTTAGGATTGTCTTGGCAATGCAGGCTTTTTTTTGGTCCCATATGAACTTTAAAGTAGTTTTTTCCAATTCTGTGAAGAAAGTTATTGGTAGCTTGATGGGGATGGCATTGAATCTATAAATTACCTTGGGCAGTATGGCCATTTTCACGATATTGATTCTTCCTATCCATGCACATGGAATGTTCTTCTATTTGTTTGTGTCCTCTTTTATTTCATTGAGCAGTGGTTTGTAGTTCTCCTTGAAGAGGTCCTTCATATCCCTTGTAAGTTGGATTCCTAGGTATTTTATTCTTTTTATAGCAATTGTGAATGGGAGTTCACTCATGATTTGGCTGTTTGTCTGTTATTGGTGTATAGGAATGCTTGTGATTTTTGCACATTGATTTTGTATCCTGAAGGATATATTTTCAATACTGGAGATAAGCTTCCCAAAGACAGTTGTGTGTGTGTGAAGGTCTTTTAACCAAAAAAAAAAGATAAGTTTTGAGACTTTATTCTCAGGTTATTCTTGAGGTAATATATGTTCTTGATTCCTCCAGTATCCTAAAGTAGTTGTTCATATGTCCATTTTAGAGCTGGAGAAATTGAACTTCATAGAAGGTAAGATTCCTGTCACACTTGTAAGGTGCAGCTGGGACTGTAGCCCAAATCAACCTACCATACCACAGTGCAGGAGCAAATTTCCAAATATCTTAGCCTGTGGTTCACTTTGTTCTCTGACCACAAGTCTCTGATAGCCTGCTGCTGTCATTTATGTATAACTGGCTTGACCCGTGTGAAAAGGACACCTTTATTGTCAGCGTCATTGATGGCTTCCTATAGGTACGTCTGTTAGGAAAAAGAACTTTCAGTAGTTAATGAAAATTAGAATACAACCCTCGGCCAGGCATGGTGGCTCATACCTGTAATCCCAGCACTTTGGGAGGCCAAGGCAGGTGGATCATGAGGTCAAGAGATTGAGACCATCCTGGCCAACATGGTGAAACCTTGTCTCTACTACAAAATACAAAAATTAGCTGGGTGTGGTGGGACCTGTAATCCCAGCTACTCAGGAGGGTGAAACAGGAGAATCACTTGAACCCAGGAGGCAGAGGTTGCAGTGAGTCAAGATCACGTCACTGCATTCCAGCCTGGCAACAGGGCGAGATTCCATCTCAAAAAAAGAAAAGAATGCAACCCCCTTTAAGCAAGTTGACATATCACAGCCTCCTGTTGAGAAAGAATATGTTAAAGTTCTTGCCAAGCAGCTGTGCTGGGAAATACAAGGTGTCGTTAGAGAGTGACCCCACTTTATTACCCTAAACTCCCTCCCTGAATTCTGGGAGCATTTCCCCCACTGGACTGTCCTATAGGATACCAGCTTTTTCTTTGTACTAGCCCCGAAGTCTCAAAGGGAAATTCTATTTTAAAAACAAAAAACTAGCACCTCTTTACTATAAGACATAGGTGACTGTGGAATCTGGAATGCTCTGTGAAGGGTACTCTCTGACATCCCCTTACACCAGTGTGTTCACCAAGGGGCTCCCATACCACTGAGGCCTGTCATCAATCCCTGGCCGATGCTGGCTCACTACCTCTCTGGCCACATACCTGTCTTGCAGAAATGCCCCAGTGATGACTTAGCACACAGAAAGAGTGCTTATGAATGCTAACATCACTGTTGCTATTACTGTTTGTCCCCTTTGATCCACTGCTCTCCCTTTGATCTGCAGGTGGCAGCTTTGGCTATCGCAAGTGGTAACGGCTTGTTACTCAAAGGAGGGAAGGAGGCTGCACACAGCAACCGGATTCTCCACCTTCTGACCCAGGAGGCCCTCTCAATCCATGGAGTCAAGGAGGCCGTGCAGCTGGTAGGTCCCTGGGAATGCACCAAGTCAGGCCCAGAGGGGCCAGGTCAGGTGTTTGGGAATTTAAAGCAAAACTTAGGCCACACAGAGCCAAGACTACAGGCAGACTTGACACTCCAACAGGCCTGTGAGCCCACAGACTTTAGGCCATTCTACAGAGCCAGATGGGTCCTCAGTGACTTAGGAAGGCCCCTGCCTTATAGCTGCATCTTGGCACTATTTATTTACAAGGATGTCAATTAGACCTTCATTTTTTGGGTCACAAGGCAGCAGGAGTACCAGACCTAGAGTGTGAGGCCTATGTTCCTGTCATTGGCAGAGTGGTCTAGGGTAAGTCAGATGAGAAACTTTACAAAAGTTTGTCAAAAACTGTCATGCAGCGTGTTGAGTATCAGATCATGCTGTTATCGCTATTATTATTTAAGGGCATTACTTTAACTGACCATTTCTCATTCTCTTCAACTGTCAAATGAAGTTTGATAATTATAGCTACTACTTGTTGAGTACCTACTATGTGCAAGGCTCATTTTATCCATTAATTCATTTGCTCGTCACAACAGTCCCATGAGGAAAATATCATTAATTATTAGACTCATTTTCTACATTGGGAAAAACAGATTCAGAGGTAAAGTAATTCCCCAAGAGTCACACGGTGTGTGATAAGAGTTTAGATTTGGACCTAGGCTGACTCCAGATCCTTTTTTTTTTTTTTTTTGTGGCTCATTTGCTTCGACATTCCAGGATTCTGTTGGCTACTGGGAGAATGTCTACAAGCCTGCTCATTACACACTCAGTGACCACAATCTGGTTTTTTTCTTATGCCAACATGGTGGTTGGAAAGAGCATAGATTTTATGGATTCAAATCCCAGCTTTACCACATCCTAGCTTACACAGGTGCCCTCCCTCCTTTTCTTCCTATTGATGTGTAACATACATAAAGTATACAGATCCTGTGAACAGCTCTGTGACTGTTCACACACACACATATATAACCACCAGCCATATCAAGATACAGAACAGTCCAACATCCTAGAGGGCCCCCTGTGCCCTTCCCAGTCAATATGTAGCCCCCTTCCCCACAAACTACTTTTTTGACTTCTGTCACATTAAATTACTTTTGCCTTTCTCTTTTGAGACATGGTCTTGCTCTGTTGCCCAGACTGGAGTGCAGTGGTACAATCTCAGCTCTTGGCTCACTGCAGCCTCAGCCTCCCAGGCTCCAGCAGTCCACCCACCTCACCTTTCCTAGTAGTTGGGACTACAAGTGTGTGCCTCCAGACCTGGCTAATTTTTGAGGTTTTTTTGTTTTTTGTAGAGACAGAGTTTCACCATGTTGCCCAGGCTGGTCTCGAACTCCTGAGCTCAGGCAGTCTGCCTGCCTCAGCCTCCCAAAGTGCTTGGAATGTGCCACCACGCCCGGCCTTTTGCCCATTCTTGAACTTTATATAAATGAGATCAAACAAAACACACGTTTATGTTGCCTGTCATTCCTTCGTTATGTCTGTGGCATTCATTCCCATTGTTGCATCTAGCAGTAGTTTTCTCATTTAATCGCCATGTAGTGTTCCGTTTACCTGCATGTACTACAGTTCATCTTTTCTTCTGTTGATGAATATTTAGGTTGTTTCCGGTTTTGGGCTGTGTGGAATAAAGTTGCTGTGAACATTCTGGTACATATATATATTTGTTGTAAAAGTAATATGACCATATGGAGAAAAATTAAAAATCAAGAGAAAACAAAATGCCCATAATGTCAGTATCCTCACACAGGCTCGTTAAGTCATTCCAGTCCACATCCCAGGGTAGAAGTTGTCATCAGAAGTCATGAGAACCATGACTCCCTAGCAAGACCAACCCAACATTTCCTCAATGCTGTGAATAGAAAACCAACAGAGCAGTCACTCCCTTTTGTGATCTTCATGGCCTGAAGTAGTGTACTGCATTTAACCTCCATAGATACCCTTTGTGCTCCTTCTGGCATTTTAAAAATTGTCTGCCCAATATTATGACTAGCAGTACCCTAGTGCTGCCTTCGCTACTTGATGCTGAGCTCTTCGAGGGCATGCCCTGTGTCCTGCGTGATCCGTGATGCGGAGCACAGCACCGAATATATAGTGTTTGATAAGCATTTGCTGGACAACTTTTTGGTTCCCATGATCGATAGCTTAATTTTGTTTTTAGAAGAAGTTTCACAGTGTCTCACTTAGTTCTCAGAATGTACAGATGTTTATCTGTAAAAGAGAAGCTGCTATTTTCATATTTTGTGTGGTCAGAAGATGTCATCTTTATCATTTTCTTCTTTCCTTCTAAAGGTGAATACCAGAGAAGAAGTTGAAGATCTTTGTCGCCTAGACAAAATGATAGATCTCATCATTCCACGTGGCTCTTCCCAGCTGGTCAGAGACATCCAGAAAGCTGCTAAGGGGATTCCAGTGATGGGGCACAGCGAAGGGATCTGTCACATGTATGTGGATTCCGAGGCCAGTGTCGATAAGGTCACTAGGCTAGGTGAGCTGGATGGGGTCTCCTCTTTCACAAGGGGAAAATATTACATCCTCTGCAGCTCTGGATCATATTAGTGGAAACAATTCTTTGCTCATCTTTCAGTCAGAGACTCTAAATGTGAATATCCAGCTGCCTGTAATGCTTTGGAGACTTTGTTAATCCACCGGGATCTGCTCAGGACACCATTATTTGACCAGATCATTGATATGCTGAGAGTGGAACAGGTAAGAGTTCCACAGGACTAGTACATTACTTCCTGTCTTAGAAGCCTGCGGAATTAAACCAGGCATAGCCATACCACATAAGGCAGTTTAAGAAACAATATTTTTTAATATCTCCTATGTACAAAGTTCCATGCTAAGTACAGAGGTGAGTAAAACACAACCCCCGCCCTCTAGTAGTTGAACCAAAGCAATACACAAATAACTTTATTACAAAGTGGAATGTGTTGTGTGCTAAAGAGGGTTCAAAGGTAAGACAGACCACATGGCACTACGCTGACTGAACTGTTTCTGGCAACCTTTTATTCACATATCAGGGTGTTCCCAAACATATATTATTTTTTGAATTTGATTTGAAAAGATGGTGCAGAAATGTTTCAAACCAAAAACTTACATACATTCACTACTTGCCCCCAGTGTCTTTGGTTACCAATATTAATATACTTAATGCAGTGATATTTGGGATTCAGTAATTTGTAGAATGTCTCCCTGGATTATGTTTTACCATGTTGTTAAGGTTGTAAACAAACCAAAAGCCAATTAATTTCAAATATAAAGTTGTGCTGTGTCCTAAATTCATGCCTGCAAGAAAATATAATAGATGCCCTCAAGGCAAAAATGGACAATTTGTTAAACTCTCTGCATGGATGCATTTTAAGCTTTAATTTCTCATGTCACAGTACACTTTCAGAATTATATAAAACAGCATGGCAGTAGAGAATGTGCTTATTGGCCTTGGTTGCTTTGACTCTGAGCATGTGTCTCTTCCCTTCCATCCTTTGACTGGAAAGGAAGGCTCCAGTTAGCTTATAAATGTGGCATGGTCCCGGTGAGAACTGGAAAGAATTGTTTTGAAAATGAAACTGTACTCCACAGATTACAAGGAAGTTAGATCACATGATCATTCATGTTCGGGGGCCTTACTTTACTTTGGTAAGGAAGCCTGTTGGTTGGGCACCTGTGTTTGCCAAGCACCACAGTGAACTGGATTAGACAGGAGGAAAGCTCTCCTTTAGCCAGGACTAAACCCTGCCCCCAGACCTAATTTGAACACACCAGTGTTATCCTCAGTCATTAAAATGAGAATGGCCTTGAAATTCCAAATCAAAATGAGTCACTGTGTGTACTTCATCCAGCACTATTGGATGGCAGAAAGTAAAGCCAGAAGGATGGCTTGCACAGGGGTGGGATTCCAGTCTCCAAGGAACACAGAGGAAGTGAGATCCCAGATAGGAAACAATGGCAGGGCCTTGGGACTCATGAGGATAGGGCAGACACCACTCATAACTTGAGCCAAGGCAAAAGCTTGGTCCCAAAGAATCAAGGCATGAAGCCTGTCCTGGGGATGTCTCAGAGAACAAGGCTTAAGTGGGATCCAGCTTGTGATTGGGGCCCTCAGTGACCAGCCTCGAAATACTTAAATTCCTCCAACCAGAAGCAGGATTAGAACCAGAGCCTAGGGCTGAGCTGAACCTAGAGGTGGGGCCAGAGTGACACAGTTGTAAATCAAATGAGTAGCCAGAGTTTGAGGTGCTGAAACCAAGTACTAGGTACCTAACCAGGTACCTAACCAAGTACTGCTTACCTCTAAAGCAAACCTGGGACTTTGCCAGGGTACAGGGAGTAGGAATGTATATGTGGCACCTCCCTCTTTCCATGCGAGTCCAGTGCCTGGGTACCATATGTAGGGACTGGGATCTTTATTGTTAAGTATTCGTTTTAGTAAAATACCAGAAGTCAAGGCCTTATGTTGATAACCCACTGAATGCCTTGCACATTCTTTTTTATTCTTTTTTTTTTTTTTTTTTTTTTTTTTGAGACGGAGTCTTGCTCTGTCACCCAGGCTGGAGTGCAGTGGCACGATCTCGGCTCACTGCAATCTCTGCCTCCGAGGTTCAAGCAGTTCTGCCTCAGCCTCCCAAGTAGCTGAGATTGCCTGCCACCATACCCAGCTAATTTTTTAGTAAAGAGGGGGTTTCGCCATGTTGGTCAGACTGGTTTCCAACTCCTGACCTCAAGTTATCCACCCATCTCAGCCTCCCAAAGTGCTGGGATTACAGGCGTGAGCCACCGTGCGCGGCCCACCTTGCACATCCTTAACGTTCAAAGGCTTCCTGCTTCAATCCCTGTTCCAACTGCCTTGAGGGCCCTTTGCTTGCAAGTGGCCGGTCAGATCATGCTGGAGGGAGGAAGGTAGGACTAGTTCTGTTGTCGAGGCCACAGGAGCCATTTTGGGCTGTGGTTTTACAGGCTCACCTTTCTGTTCTATCCTAGAGCTTGCTTATTTCAGTTGTTTTTATGTTGTTGCCCCTGGACTTCCTCTGTTCCAGGTAAAAATTCACGCAGGCCCCAAATTTGCCTCCTATCTGACCTTCAGCCCCTCCGAAGTGAAGTCACTCCGAACTGAGTATGGGGACCTGGAATTATGCATTGAAGTAGTGGACAACGTTCAGGATGCCATTGACCACATCCACAAGTACGGCAGCTCCCACACGGATGTCATCGTCACAGAGAACGGTCAGTGTCCAGATGCTTCCCGCATAGTGTCTGCCTTTGCTGCTTTCTGATCCTGCTCCTCTTAGCCCCTCTTGGCCTGCAGAAAAACATCATTTGAGTAGGCTTATGGTAATGCTTAGTAGTGGTTGCATTTGGTACTTTGATGAGTGCTTTCATATGACTTTATTGTATTGTCACAGCTGGAGGAGGCGGGGCAGGGATGATTAGCTCTGCTTTGAAGATGACTAACCCTGTCAGCGGCGTTATCATTTAATGTATGCAACAAATCTTACAAAGTAGTTAAAATAAACCCATTTTACAGCTGAGGAAACCAAGGCCCAGGGGGTTAAGGGCAGAACCAACTCTGCACATTCATTCATTCATTTATTCCACAAATATGTATGCAGGGACACTCCTGGGTGTCAGATACTGGAGCCTCAGTGGTGGAGGATGCCAGTAGGGCCTCCTCGAGGAATTTACAGTCAGTTAATTGGGACACCAGAGCAGTGCTACCCATATTAACAGCCAGCATTTACCAAGCACTCACTGTGTGCTAGGCACTAGGATGAGTACTCCCCAGGTGCTAACTCATTTCATCCTCTCTACAACCCTATCAGCTAGGTAATGGAAGTCCCTTTTCGCCCAGACACAGTTTTATACACCTGCAGAAGGTCACAAAGCTAGTGGGTGTACAGCTGGAGTTCAGGCCTAGGCATTCTGGCTCTGGAGCCCATAAGTTGGAAGTTTCGGCAGGTCACCTGCATGGGAGATCTGGATTCCAACCCAGTCTTTCCACAACACTGTGATTGATGAAGCTGATTTGTCTTCTTCCTGTTGAGATTTTTCACAAGCCTGAATATTTAATATGTGAGAACACATGGGGAGGCCCAGTGGGGACCCAGACCCTGCCCTGATCTGTCACCAATGAATGGCTGGAAACGGGGATGTTTTCTGGGTATCATCGTGACTTGGTTTCTCTTTCTTTACCCTGCAGAAAACACAGCAGAGTTCTTCCTGCAGCACGTCGACAGTGCCTGTGTGTTCTGGAATGCCAGCACTCGCTTTTCTGATGGTTACCGCTTTGGACTGGGTAAGAAAGACTCTGGTTGGGGAGAAGGAAGTTCCTTATGAAGCACTGTGTGGTCCAGGGGTATGTTGAGGTGGGGAAGACACCTCCCCTTGACTGTCACATGCTTGGTCAAGATAAGAGAGAGAGAGAGGCTGGGCATGGTGGCTCCCGCCTGTAATCCCAGCACTTTGGGAGGCCGAGGTGGGTGGATCACCTGAGTTCAGGAGTTCGAGATCAGCCTGGCCAACATGGTGAAACCCTGTCTCTACTAAAAATACAAAAAATTAGCCAGGCGTGGTGGCAGATGCCTATAATCCCAGCTACTCAGGAGGCTGAGGCAGAATTGCTTGAACCCGGGAGGCAGAGGTTGCAGTGAGCCCGAGATTGCACCACTGCACTCCAGCCTGGGGGACAGAGTGAGCCACCATCTCAAAAACAAAAACAAAACAAACAAAAAAAAAACCAGACTTCTGGCAAGGTAGGATTATCAGGGAGAATAATTAATGAAACCTCCCATGAGTTGGTGGAAGGTCTATCTTCTAAGCATTTCACATGCTAATAAGGCAGGTACTTTTTTTCATTTTTCACAGAGAGAGAATGAGATTCAGAGAAGTGTAGTAACTTGCCCAAAGTCTCACAGCTGGCATTCAGACCCAAACTTGTGCAAGTCCAAAGCCTGGGTTCTCCCACTGCAGCATGGGCAGACCACAGCCTGCCTTTTTGCACAGGCTGTGCCAGAGGTACATGCTGCATCCCTTGAGAGCACTCCTTTTACAGACTTATTTCACCCACAGCCAGGTTGCCTCAGAGATAGGAAACCCCACAATGGTAGGACAAAAGAAGGTACCGTGGGCCTAAGTACCAGGATCAAAACAAACAGGCCAGCCGGAAATACAAGGTTACCTTCTACAGCAGACTTTGAAATAAAAAGCTTCAGAAGGACATTTCTATCCCCTTCCATTAGGTATAAAATCTCCAGCCCTCTGTCGTGTTGGGGTTATTTGGACAAACTCTGGTTTTCAGGGGTACCAGTATATAAAACTCCAGAACAGGCACAGTGGCTCACACCTGTAATTCCAGCACTTTGGGAGGCCAAGGCGGGTGGATCACCTGAGGTGGGAGTTCGAGATCAGCGTGACCAACATAGAGAAACCCCATCTCTACTAAAAATACAGAATTAGCTGAGTATGGTGGTGCTTGCCTGTAATCCCAGCTACTCGAGAGGCTGAGGCAGGAGAATCGCTTGAACCTGGGAAGCCGAGGTTGCAATGAGCCGAGATCGCACCATTGCACTCCAGCCTGGGCAACAAGAGCTAAACTCCATCTCCAAAAAAAAAAAAGAAAGAAAGAAAACCTCCAGTAATACATTTATGACACGTTTTCTGAATGTTTGAGAATTATTTCAACCACTCAAAACATTTTAGGCCATGTGCAGTGGCTCACACGTATAATCTCAGCACTTTGAGAGGCTGAGGCAGGAGGATCTCATGAGTTAGGGAGTTCAAGACCAGCCTGGGCAACGCAGCAAGACCTCCTCTCTACAGAGATGAAAAAATTATCCAGGTGTGGTGGCATGAGCCTGTAGTCCCAGTTACTCAGGAGGCTGAGGCAAGAGGGGATCCCTTGAGCCCAGGAGTTCGAGGCTGCAGTAAGCTAAGATGGTACCACTGTACTCCAGCCTGGGAAAGAGTGAGGCCCTATCTCTATAACAAAACAAAACAAAACAGAAAGACACACATTTTAATCCTTCTGAACTTTTTGAGTAGATGATCTGCCTGGAGAAATAGTTCTCACCAAATTGTTAAAGATTATAAAAGGGAATTTAACTCAGTTATTCTTAGTCATTATACTATTTATTTTTAGTTCCCCATTTCTTTTATGTTGGGATTTTGATGTAATTATCACATCACTTGCACTGATCTTTATACTCCATGTACTTGAAAAAGAAATAGCAATATATTTTTAAGGGCTGGGGCACCCAGCATTCAAATGAAAATCCAGGATGAGGAAAGAACGAAAGACCATTCCATTGTCCTTCCAACACCAACTCAGAGTGAAAGCTGGTTGAGTTAAATTCCTTGTGAAATGCATTAATGACAATAAAGATTTGAGCATTTACTGCATTCCCAGCACTGTGCTAAATGTGTCACAAACATGCTGTCACTTCATTCTACAAAATTAATTCTTTTTCCAGATGAAGAAACTGTGGCATGAAGTTAGGTAGCGTGTGCAAAGTCATGTGGTCTCTATGCTATTGAACCAGAATCTGAATCCTGCTGGTTTCACTCTCCTTGCCAACCACTACCCCAAGCACATCCCACCCCCGCTGCGTCTCCTACTTGCTCTTCTCTCTGCCTACAGCACCTCTGTCTGGTTTTCTCCAGCCAGCTCCTTCTCACTGTTCAGGTCTCAACCAAAAGGCACTTCCTTAGGGAGGCTTTCCCTGACCACCTTTCCCAGCATGTCCCCAGCTCCACCACACAGCCTCTGTCAAAGCACCCATCGCTGCACTTGAGCACCACAGGAGACTATTTACTCACCTGTCCCTTGGCTGCCTCGCCCACTATAATATCAGCTCTGCGAAAATAGGGCCTTGTATCTGTTATTCACCATTTTATCCCCAGGGCTCAACACAGTGCCTAGTACATAGTACATGCTCAGTAAAGTGATAATGAGGGAACCCTGCCTCCACTGTATACAGTGCAGAACACCAAGCCAGGCCCAGGAAAACCCCTGACATGCCCTAGGTCTGAGCTGGGAGCAAGAGGAAAGTGAATGAACAGTAACCCTTTGATGTATTCAGTAACTGTCTAATGAGTCCCCTGTGCTAAGACTTCTATGGGATACCAAGAACATGTCCCTTTCTTTCTAAGATTTAAAGAGTATTTGAGGAGGAGGTGAAACCATTTTGGTAAAAGTTGTCGTACCCCTCAAAACATGCCCAAATGTCAAAATATGGTATGCAATTCAGATGCTAAACTGATATCAGAGACAGCACTTGTATTAATAGCATTGTCAAAATGCACTGGGGATAAAACACAGAAGAGGGATTCACACACTGTTTCACGAGAAGGGGTGTATCATGACTTATAGTAATCGGAGGACATGTTTACGGGAACAGGGTGACTCAGCTGTCCTGGGGAGGATGGGTGAGGAGTTAGCAGGAAGAGAGGGTACCAAGTGAGGGGAAAACAGCAGGGTGGGTCTGGAGCATGGACAGGAAGCAGAGGCTGGGAAAAGCTACATCTTTTATTCATGCTTTTTCACAGGAGCTGAAGTGGGAATCAGTACATCGAGAATCCACGCCCGGGGACCAGTAGGACTTGAGGGACTGCTTACTACTAAGTGGCTGCTGCGAGGGAAGGACCACGTGGTCTCAGATTTCTCAGAGCATGGAAGTTTAAAGTATCTTCATGAGAACCTCCCTGTTCCTCAGAGAAACACCAACTGAAAAGAGCCAGGAAAACCCAGGAATGTTCCAAAAGGTCTTTGCAGTTAAACTTGTCTTATCTCAGGAGAGAGCCCACTCTAGTCTCCCAGTTCCTGGTAGGGTCTGCCTGTTGGAAAGTGTACTTGGATGCTTCTGGGCTCCGTTTGGCAATAGCAGTCTTGGCTGATATGCGCAGTCTGGCTCCCAGCTCACCCTTTTTTTTTTTTTTTTAAGTAAGAAAATAATTGCTACCAATAGAGACTTTGCCAAGTCCAATTATCTTCTAGGATTGAAAGGTGCATTTTCCCCATATAAAAGGCGAGGAAAACCCATGGCTGCTTTGTATTACCTCAGTGAGTTACAGCCCCCCTTGGCATTTAGTTGGTACTAGAGCCAGTCATCCTTAACAAATCTTTTCACATTTTATTTCTTTCACACATAGTCATCTTCAAAAAGGAAAAAGATTTGGAATTTTAGAAGAGGGGCAACTCTTCTTTTTAGCATTCTCATCAGAAAGTCACAAAAATAGACGGAATCATTTCCACTGGGAAGATTGACCTTTTGTTTTATTTGTGGGGTAAATTAATAAGCATTCCAGATGCTTGCAGCTTCCTGCATCCAGGAGATGCTGTGTTCCCCGTGATGCAGCTGGAAGCTGAGCTGCAGACAGGAGGTGCGAGTTTCAGGATGTTCCCCACTGAGCTGGAGGAATATCTACGGCAGTGATGCTCGAAATTTTTGTATGAATTATTTTGTCCTCCTACCCTTTTCCTCCAAAACAAAAATTAGAGGATTATTTTAATACTTTGGATTCTTCCCCCCTTTTTGAGAAATAAAGTTTTTTATGAAAAGCCTGTGCATGATTAAAGTTTTTTCCCTTATTTGTCATTCCCCCTTCTTTTTCCTCTCTTGTGACCCTTGTGCCCTGCTTGCGGGCATGTTCTCTTCTCTTAAAGCTGTCTGGGGAGACAAGACATCTGCCTCAACAGTGTTTGTTGGTGGAAGCAACATAGGCAAAACCCACAGAGGGACTCAGACGGGGAGAGAAGAAAGGAAAACAGGAGATTAAGCCCCAAGAGCTTGAAGACTGAAAGTGCGGTGAGGGTCTGAAGTTGGTGGGGTCCGACCTGAGCGAGCTCCCACGGTGGCACATAGCCCCAGCTGACATCCTTAGTTCACTGCATCCCCCCAGCTCCTCCCTGCCCGTCTTGTTGCCTCAGGATCACCTGACAGTTCAGACCCTCCCCACTCTCCCTCCATTTAGCTCCTGTCCTTAGGGCCCCTGGTGCCTGACAGTCTGCAGTTGAAAGATTTCTTGTCTCATGGGGGCCTCCTAAAGAAGTAGCACTCGCTTACAGTGCTGTTGCTTTTCCTCTGGGGATGTTTCACCAGCACAAGAATGATGGTGTCGTGTGGAACATGTTCCCAGGCTGGCTGCACAGCCTGCCTCTCATCCAGACCCTTACATGGTCTGGCAAGGCACCCTGACTGCCCTGCCCTCTGGATGGGAAGTTCTGGCGTAGCTTGCCTGAAAAGGCTATAAACAGCCCTGCCTGAAACTGTCACAAACACCACAATGAGCTCCCAACCAGACAACAAATGCCCAGGTATCTTAAATAGAAGGCAGCCTAAGAGAGCTGGGGCCCTTGGGGAAGACCACTGAGAAGGCAGACCTGCATCTGGGCCCTGAGAAAGACCACTATCATCAGACAGAAACCCCAAGTTTCACTCATTAAACTGGCCTGCATCAATCATTGCTATAAATGCACACATTGAGTTTAACTGCATCCCACAGAAACTTCAAAGAATTGGGGCTTGAACTTGATCATTCCTTTTTCTCATGTAAAAAGAGCTCTGGAAGTAGGCAGCTTCAAGGCAGAGGTAATGCCTCCATGAAGGCCATCAGGCACTGGGCCTGCTTTTGGTTTATGCTCTTCTGTCCTAGGGCAAGGCTCTTGTCCACATGGTAGTGGCATTCCAACCATCAGGACTGCATTCCAGCCAGCAGGAAGAAGGAAGAACCATAGGCAGAGGAGTGTCTGCCCGCTGCCCCTTCTAAGTGACGTTCCAGGAAGACCCCCGCAGTGGCTTGACCAAAACTAGCTCATGGCCTCCCTTCTCTAAAAGGGATCTGGGAGGTGTAGCTTTTTTATTTGGGCACACTGCAGCTCCAAGAAAGTAAGGGTGCTATTGGTAAGGGAGGAGGAAAATCAGATAGGGGAAGAAGATGATCCTAATTGATTCGTGGAGCTGAGAGCAGGATTCATTCACCCAAACAGTATGGCTGCTGGAGAACAAAAGAGGGCTGGGATGGTGGCCAGAGAGGTAGCCACAATGTCCCACTGCACTGCCTCACAGAAAGGAAATGGAAAGGAGAGGTGAGCAGACACTAAAGATTCATGGTGCTATTTGCAGCCCAGTGTAATGGAGGGAGCACTGAACTGGGACTCCAGAATTTTTTTTCCAGCTCTGTCACTGACTAGCATTATGACCTTGGGTAACTAAACATTTTTGCCTCAGTTTCCACACTCACAAAATGGGAGCTTGGATAAGCTTTCTAATGAGATGGGGGTATGGGAGACTCTTCATCACTAAATTGCAAATTAGCTGAACAAGGTATTTTTTTATGTGACAGCCATAGCTGGCCAAGTCTTTGGTAGGCATTGAAAGCTAAATGCAACATCACTGACCCGCTCTTCTCCTCGCACACACACCCCTCTGCTATTTGCTGGATTTGTGGACCTCAGACTACTTCAAACTGTGGTTCAAGGATCATTGTAACAGAATGACCACAGGGGCTAGCTAAAACTCTAGATTCCTGCACCCAGATCTGCTGAGCCAAAATTTCTGAGGATGGGGCAAGGAATTGGAATTTTTAGTAAGCCCCTTATGTGATTTATCCCAGCATTACCACTACTGTAAGTAACCTGAGAGTTTTGTTTTTCTTCCATAATGAGAAGTCCAGAAGTAGCTCAAGACCAACAAGGCAATTCTGATGCCATTAGGAACCCAGACTCTTTCCAACTTTCAGCCCTGACATTCTTTTTTTTTTTTTTTTTTTTTTTTTTTTTTTTTTTTTTTTTTGAGACGGAGTCTCGCTCTGTTGCCCAGGCTGGAGTGCAGTGGCCGGATCTCAGCTCACTGTAAGCTCCGCCTCCCGGGTTCACGCCATTCTCCTGCCTCAGCCTCCCAAGTAGCTGGGACTACAGGCGCCTGCCACCTCGCCCGGCTAGATTTTTGTATTTTTTAGTAGAGATGGGGTTTCACCGTGTTAGCCAGGATGGTCTTGATCTCCTGACCTCGTGATCCGCCCATCTCGGCCTCCCAAAGTGCTGGGATTACAGGCTTGAGCCACCGCGCCCGGCCAGCCCTGACATTCTTAACTCCGCAACTTCCCTTGCACCACGATGGCTGTTCCATCTCCACACCTGTGTTCCATCTATGTCCCAGTCAGGAAGAAGGGCAAGGGAAAGAGGCATGCACAACTGAGTTCGCCCAACACACCCACATTCAAAGAGCTTTCCTGGAAGCCCCAGTCAGTCACTTCCCTTATATCTCATCAGGAGGAACTGTTTCTTGGGGCCATGTGAACAACTATAGCTGCGAGGAGGCTGGGAAATAAGAGTTTTACAGCTGGGCACATTCCTGCTCAAACAAAAATCATGATCCTGTTTGTGAGGAAGAGAAGATAAAAATCAGGTAAGCTACTACATTAGGGGGTAGCCATGTTAGGTACAGTTACCCCTAGTGACTTTCCGAAGAGTAGATTTTCTTGGAAGGCTCTTTTATTCCCTTGAGTTCATTGGTAAGTTTTGTAATGCAGGTTTATATGGGAAAGCTAAAGTGCTCCATAAGAGATGGAGAAAAGACAAAATTCCCAGGCAGTTTTGGAGAGGAAAGAGTAAGTCGTAGGCCGGTGCAGTGGCTCATGCCTGTAATCCCAGCACTTTGGGAGGCCAAGGCGGGTGGATCACCTGAGGTCAGCAGTTCAAGACTAGCCTGGACAACGTGGCGAAACCTTGTCTCTACTAAAAACACAAAAATTAGCTGGGCGTGGTGGCGGGCACCTGTAATCCGAGCTACTTGGGAGGCTGAGGCAGGAGAATCTCTTGAACCAGGAGACGGGGGTTGCAGTAAGCCGAGATCGTGCCATTGCTTTCCAGCCTGGGCGACAAGAGCGAAAGTCCGTCTCCACAAAAAAAAAAAAAAAAAAAAAAAAAAAAAGAGTGAGTTGTAGACTTGCCCTAGGCAGAGGCTACAAACTAAGGGTCAGTAGGAAATTAGGCTAAAGAAAGCTAAATGTAAGACACAAAGTATAGGAAAAGCCATCTGTTTTTAAACTGGTGGCTTGATGGAGGTTGTTATGTTGTTATGGACTGAATGTTTGTGCCCTTCCCAAATTCCTCGTTGAAGCCCTACCCCTCAATGTGATGGTGTTTGGAGACGGGGCCTTTGGGAGGTAATTAGGGTTAGATGACGTCATGAGGGTGGGGCCCTCATGGTGGGATTGGTGCTTTCGTAAGAGATGGCATGTCTCTGAACAGACTGTTGGGTAAACATGTCTCTCAACAAACTGTTGGGTAAAAAGTAAAATAAGAGATACTAGAGACCTTGACCTCCCGTCCTTCATGTGAGGACACAGTGAGAAGACAAAACAGTCTCCTGCAAGCTAGGGAGCAGGGCCCTCACCAGGAACTGAACTGGCCAGCACCTTGATCTTGGACTTCTGAATCTCCAGACTGAAAAATAAATTTCTGTTGTTTGATCCACCTAGTCTATGATATTTTGTTATGGCAGCCCAAGCAGAAAAAAACAGATGTAATTGTCTTGGAGGTACCTGCATTTTAGAAAAGGAGTCCTAATATTTCAAAGAATTGGCCAGAGTGGCATAGCGGAAAGAGTATGCATTTGGGAGTGATATGACTTGCACTGCCATCTATAAATTGTAGGAACTTGCAGGATTGTTTTTTGCTGCAATGAGCCTCAATGTCCTTATTTGGAAAAAAGTAGACAGCTAATACTTACCTTGAAGATTCCTGTCAGTAAATAATCAGGTCATGGACTGGACACCTAGCTCATGGAAGAAGCACCATCCATGCTGGCCACAATTAGCCACATCTGGTATATCTGTCTTTGTATCCTCCACTGAGCCCAGCAAGGCATAATGCACACAGATGTTTACTGAGTAGCTATTGAAACAGGCTACTTGGGCAGAGCTATTGAGGTGGAGGGGGCTTTCTCTGAGATCCATGGACCATTAGGGACGCTGGTATGAGGCTGGCAGTCTAAAACGATCATGTCTTCCCTGACTCCAACTTATTTCTAAACCATTGAGGAGTGTCATTGTTCTCTCTTCCTTATGAAAGTGCCCTGTGGAGTCTTCTGTAGTAGACATTGAGTTAAATGTTACAATGTCTTTTTCACTGGCACTTCTGGCAAAAATCGATGAATAACTTCATAACCATTCTTAAGGGCACCTCATGTAAGTTTGCAGATCTCTGCTATTTTGCAGAACTCTGCTATTAGTGAGAATGAGATTTTAAAGCCTCATTCAGTATCCAGCGAGCACCCACTACGTGCCAGATGCTGGAGATAAGAGATATTTCCTCCACCTGATGGTTCAAACATTGATCTGTCTGAGAATTGCTGCTCTAAACTCAGGTAATTCTTATCCTTAACTCCCGCCCTTTACTGCCTATTTTACCCTACTCCCTAAGAGAAATCCTTTGGCCAATAGGAAAACACCAAACTAGACAGATATGATCCCATACTGAAGGCAGAAGGATTCACCATAACCTAAGAAAATCAACTCACTCTTTATTCCATCTGGCCCCAGGATTCCTCTAACGCTAGAGGGCAGTCGGGTCCCATAGACCTAAGAAAGTCGGCCTGCTCTTCATCAATGCCCAGCAAATTATCCCCTCCTGGTCCTCAGGCTACTCTCCTGGAAATGAAGTGCTGGATCAGTAAAATAACTTCTAGAGATTCTCTTACCTACAGGGTAAGAACACAGGCCTTTTCAGTTTAGAGGCAGAAAAGGCCTGTGTTTAGGGTTTGGACCTTGATTCTAACACCTACTGGTTGTTTGACCTGGGGAGAGTGTCTTAACTTCTCTGAATTTTGATAATACGTATCCATAAATGGTTTTGCGAGAGTAAATGTAAAGCACTCAGCACAGTATTCAGCATGTGGTTAACCTTCAGTAACTATTGGCTGTTACTATTAATGATTGTAAGGAATGGCTTTCTCTTAGTTCTCGACATTGCTTTTTTTTCCCTTTGAGACAGGGGTCTCACTCTGAAACCCAGACTGGTCTCAAACTCAACTCCTGGGCTTAAGCAATCCTTCTGTCTCAGCTCCTGAATAGCTAGGGTTACAAGTGCATGCCACCGCACCAGGCCCTACATTTCTCTTTTATTTAAAGTCCAAGCATCAATTCCTAGGACATAAAGTGAGGACATTCTTAAGACAAATCTACTATGTACTAAGCATCATAGTAAGGGGGCCAGATGAATTATGTATGATGCCACAATAATCTAAGTGAGGGAATTGTTACCCCTATTTTACAGGTATAGAACCTAAAGATCAGTAAATTGCCCAAGATCACACTGTAGTGGAGGAATCTGGATTCGAACCCAAGACAACAGAGCTTCAAAACTCTTCACCACCACAGGGGGCGTAGCAGTAGTGTTTTCCCAGAAGCTTGTTGTACCTGATCCCAAAGGCAAGTTGTGAGGCTGAAGAAGGAGGTTGCCACAGCTACTAACTGGACCCCTTTTCACGTAATCAGATCCTTGGTCTGCTCCAGTTTTGCAAGAGGAGCCACTTGTCTGGAAACTCTCCTCAACACCTGCCCCTGGAGGGAGCCGACTGTGCCTGAATTATTTAGAGTCTCTAGACACTTGATATAATGAGCAGGTGTGGATGCTTCTCTGAATTCCCCAACATGCCTTTACTTACCTCCTTTCCCCTCCCCCCAGTTGCCTATGAGGAAAAAGGAGGCATCATCCTTTTCCTCACTGTAGATGTGTATGCCTCGTCCTTCATTTTTCATCCCGAAGTCTATTTGTAAGAAGTGGACCATTTTCCTTGCAAATATCAAAAATCATGTTGATTTCCATTGAAACTGGTGGTGTAAATTGACCCTAACTAGTAAATGCATAACTTGGCCAGGAGTGGTGGCTCATGCCTGTCATTCCAGCATCTTGGGAGGCCAAGGCAGGAGGATCACTTAAGCCCAGGAGTCTGAGACCAGCCTACGCAATATAGTGAGACCCTGTCTCTAATTTATTTATTTATTTATTTATTTTTTGAGACTGAGTCTCGCCTGTTTCCCAGGCTGGAGTGCAGTATCACGATCTCGGCTCACTGCAACATCTGCCTCCCGGGTTCAAGTGACTCTTCTGCCTCAGCCTCCCGAGTAGCTGGGACTACAGGTGCATGCCACCATGCTCGGCTAATTTTTGTATTTTTAGTACAGACGGGGTTTCACTATATTGGCCAGGCTGGTCTTGAGCTCCCAGCCTTGTGATCCGCCCACCTCAGCCTCCCAAAGTGCTGGGATTACAGGCATGAGCCACCGCTCCCGGCCAAAATTCTTGTTTTTGAAGAATATTTACTGACATGGAGAAGAGATGCACTAGAAAATATTGAATAGGGAAAAACTAAGCTATAAAACAGTATAATTAAAAATTCTCAATTATATATATTTAGTTAAAAAAAGACTGAAAGACAATGTATCAAATAATATTATGGGCTGGGCACAGTGGCTCACAACTGTAATCCCAGCACTTTGGGAAGCTGAGGCTGGAGGATCACTTGAGGACAGGGGTTCAAGACAAACCTGGGCAACATATCAAGACCCTATGTCTACAAAATTTTTTTTTCTACTTAGCCAGGCATGTTATGTGTACCTGTAGCCCCAGCTACTTAGGAGACTGAGGTGGGAGGGTCTCCTGAGCCCAGGAGGTTAAAGCTACAGTGAGCAATAATCAAGCCACTGCACTCCAGCCTGGGTGACAGAGTGAGACCCTGTCTCAAATTTTTTTAAAAAGTTATATGTATATATACACAAAGCAGAGAGAGAGTCTCACTCTGATTTCCAGGCTGGAGTGCAGTGGCACGATCTCAGCTCACCACAACCTCTGCCTTCCGGGTTCAAGTGACTCTCCTGCCTCAGCCTCCCAAGTAGCTGAGACTACAGGCACATACCACCATGCTCGGCTAGTGAGTGATTTCTACTGAGCAGTGAGATAAGTGAGTTTTATTTGTCATTATACTTTTCTAAGTTTTCTACTTTATTTTAAAATTTTCATAGCTGGTAATATTTCTTTCTATGGGAAATTATTGGTGCAGGCCAGGCATGGTGGCTCCCACCTGTAATCCCAGCACTAACTGGGAAGCCTAGGCAGAGGATTGCTTGAGCCCAGGAGTTTGAGACTAGCCTGGGCAATATGGTGAGACCCTGTCTCTACAAAAAGAAAAATAATACAAAAAGTAGCTGAGCATGGGCCAGGCATGGTGGCTCATGCCTATAATCCCAGCATTTTGGGAGACTGAAGTGGGCAGATCACAAGGTCAGGAATTTGAGACCAGCCTGGCCAGCATGGTGAAACCCCGTCTCTCCTAAAAAAAAAAATACAAAAGTTAGCCGGGCATGGTGGCATACACCTGTAGTCCCAGCTACTCGGGAGGCTGAGGCCGACTTGAACCGGAGAGGCGGAGAATTGCTTGAACGGGGGAGGCAGAGGTTGCAGTGAGCTGAGATCGCGTCACTGCACCCCAGCCTGGGTGAAAGAGCAAGACTCTGTCTCAAAAAAAAAAAGGTAGCCAGGCATGGTTGTACACATCTGTGGTCCTAGCTACTAGCTACTAGGGAGGCTGAGGTGGAAGGATTGCTTGAGCTCAGGAGTTTGAGACTGCAGTGGGCCAAGATCATGCCACTGCACTCCAGCTTGGGCCACAGAGTGAGACCCTGTCTTGAAAAAAATAAAAAAGAAAGAAAAAGAGAGAGAGAGCGAGAGAGGAAGGAAGGAAGGAGAGAGAGAGAGAGTCAGAAAAGAAAGAGAGAAAAAGAAAAGGAAGGAAGGAAGGCAAAAGAAAGAAAAGAGAGAGAAAGAAAGAAGAAAGAAAGAAAAGAAAAAAAGAAGGAAAAGAAAGAAGGAATTATTGGTACAATGGTGAAAATAAAATTTGTGATAACAATTTTTTAAATTTATAGACAGGTTTATTTTCCATCCCATCCTCCTTTGTATTCTATCTTTTACAGATGAAGAAATCAAGGTTCAGGTGCTCTCGGTGACATAGCCAGTTGAAGGGAAAGTACAGACCAGACGCCAGACCTTTACACAGGAGGGAGAGAGTGACCTCAAAGGGGAGTCTGGACTAGTGACTTCTAAGGCCCCTTCCAGACCAAGGCTCTCTTTCTCTCTGCTGCTGTGCTGGTTTCACCCCCTGCATTCACAGCCCTCCCAAGGTAAGAGAACTTCAGAAACCCATGAAGTGCTTCTGCCCCAGGTACTTCACTGAGCTCTAGTTTTCTTTCTGTAACTTGCAAATAGGGCTACAACTCTGACTCTGTGTTTCCAGATTCTGTTTCAATGCAGACAATTAGATGGTAAATAATTCAAGATAACGGAAACTGGCAAAGTGGTGTGTGATGTCCAAATAGCTATCTTCTTTACCCTCTGGTGTAAACTTCAGGCTCATCTGCAACTCAGGAGCCCCAGGAGTAAGTGAAATGTACAAACACAGGAATCTCCCCTGTTTCCATTCCCCTCATTTTAAAATATTGTTTGGGGGTGGGAATGCAGTTTAATCAAAGATTAAGGTAAGACAGTTTGGCTTTGGACGACAGATTCAGACAACTTCTTAGGCATGTCTGAATTTCTTCCCATGGTGGAGTAGAGTGATCAGAATCCAGAGGCATCAGTTTCTCCTTGACCTGAGGATTCATGATCCAAAGTTGTGGTCTCAGAAATATCACCATTCATCCTCTTTCTCTTCCTTCTGGGCAATGAGGGAGACACATTTCACTGGACCCTTCTAAACTGCCCCACCATTAAAGAAGTAGTCTTAGTTAAGACCCATTGAATTACAGGTAACGTAAACCACCTCTGCCCTGCCTAAGAAGAAAAGGATAATGTATTATATGGACATAGGGGTGTCTTATAAAGCCCAAGGGCAAAGAAAATAGAGATGGACCAGCCTCTTAAGAAATTGGAGCTAGAGGCGTCATGTTACAGGACTTCAAAATATATTACAAGGCGATAGTAACCAAAACAGCATGGTATTTGTATAAAAACAGACATATAGACCAATGGAACAGACTAGAGAACACAGCTAACTGATCTTCAACAAAGATGCCAAGAGCTTACACTGGGGAAAGGACACCCTCTTCCATAAAGGGTGCTGGGAAAATTGGATAGCCACATGTAGAAGAATGAAATTGGATCCTTCTCTCTCACCATATGTGAAAATAAATTCAAAATGGATTAAAGACTGAAAAATAAGATCTAAAACTATAAAAATACTAAGAAAAACTCTCTTGGACATTGGCACAGGCAAAGAAGTTATGACTAAGACCTTGAAAGCACAGACAACAAAAACAAAAACAGACAAACGGGGCTATATTAAACTAAAAATCTTCTGAACAGCAGTTGATTGTTTCAATCAACAGAGTGACGAGACAACTTGTTGAAAGGGAGAAAATATTTGCAAACTATTCATTCAACAAGGGACTAACATCCAGAATATAAAAGGAGCTCAAAAATCTCAAAAAGGAAAGAACAAATAATCCCATTAAAAAGTGGGCAAAGGACATAAATAGACATTTCTTAAAAGAAGACATGTAAATGGCCAACAGGTATATGAAAAAATGCTCACCATCACTCATCATTAGAGAAATAAAAATCAAAACTACAGTAAGATCTTACTCCAATCAGAATGGCTTTTATTAAAAAGACAAAAAAAAAAAAATAACATCTTGGTAAGGATATGGAAAAAGGGGAAGTCTTTTACACTGTTGGTGGGAATGTAAATGAGTACAACCACTATGGAAAACAGTATGGAGATTTCTTTTTTCTTTTTCTTTTTTCTTTTTTTGAGACAGAGTCTCACTCTGTCACCCAGGCGGAGTACAGTGGTGCAATCTCAACTCATTGCAACCTCTGCCTCCCGGGTTCAAGCAACTCTCCTGCCTCAGCCTCCTGAGTAGCTTGGATTACAGGCACCCACCATCATGCCTGGCTAATTTTTGTGTTTTTAGTAGAGACGAGGTTTCACCAGTTGTCCAGGTTAGTCTCGAACTCCTGATCTCAGGTGATCCACCTGCCTTGGCCTCCCAAAGTGCTGGGACTATAGACATGAGCCACCATGCCTGACCGGAGATTTCTTAAAAAAACTAAAAGTAGAATTACCATTTGATTCAGTGATCCTACTACTGGGTATCTACCCAAAGGAAAAGAAATCAATATATCAAAAGGATATCTGCAAACTTGCGTGTTTATTGCAGCACTATGCACAATAGCTAAGATATGGAATCCGCCTAAGTGTCCACCAATGGAAGAATAAAGAAAATGTGGTATATATACACAATGGAATACTGTTTAGCCATAAAGAGTGAAATCATGTCATTTGCAGCAACATGGATGGAACTGGAGATTATTATTATTATTTTTAATCACAAATAAGACTTTTTATTTGCCACTATTTTAAGTCTGAACTTTAAACAGATTCTTGGACTGGTCGTTCATATCCATCAGTTCATTCAACTTTAGCACCTGTCTTGTCCCCAGTGACTTTTCCAGAACTACTGCCTTCACCATGAAGCTCCATGAGTTTTCCCAGTTCAAACCTGAGCTTCTTCAGCATTTTTACTTTTCTAACAAAGACATCATGGAGAGGATAAATAGATTGGCAAGCCTTTTCTATGTCTTTTCCAAAGCTGTCTAGAATCAATTTATTGACTACTTCTTTCAAGTCATTTGTTGGCATCTCTTGGGTCATGATTTCCATTATCTTCTGGATTTGGTGGACCTGTTGGTGCTGAGCATAAGAGGTCTTCCGTATGTGATTGTTGCGTTTTTTAGTAAAGCCAACACAGAACAGACGAAGCAAGTAACCATGAGTAGTCTTGACATCAATGTGAGCTTCAATCATTGTCTGCCATTTTTTGACCATGGAACACATTTTGTCATGAATAAGATCCATGCCATGGAAGTTAGTCAGGCAGTTTTTGCCCTGAACATCTTCAGTAATCAGCTTGAATTTTCTAAATGCAAATTCATCGTTCTGCAAATCAGCAAGACTCACTTCAAACACACAACCCTTGAGGCTGTCGGATGCAATTTTGGTTCCTTGGGTCCTGGTGACTAACGTCTTTCCAATATTTCTTATATTGAACATAGCAGCTGCTTTCACATTATACCAATCTTTCTTAGAAAATGAATCAATCGCTTTCTTCTTGGCTCCCCTTTTGCTGCCTTTTGTAAGGCGCTTGTTCTTGCCAACCACCATGGTGCTGCTCAGAGAGCCACAAGGCCTAGAGGTTATTCTCTTAAGTGAAAAAAGTCAGGCACAGAACGACAAATATTGCATTTTCTCACTTATATGTAGCAGCTAAAAAAATTGAACATGTGGAACTAGAGAATGGAAAAACAGTTAATAGAGATGGAAGGGACAGTGGTGGAGGGGCGGGTGGATAAAGAGAAGTGTTAAAACATACAAACATACAGTAAGATAAAAGGAATAAATTCAATATTCCACAGCAGAGTAGGATGACTAAACTAAACAAAAATGTGTTGTACTCACATGACGGACACCCTGAATGCCCCTTCCTGATCACTATGTATTATATACATATAACAGATTTTCTCATGTACCCCATAAATATACACAAATAACTTTTTTTAAAAAAAAAAAGAAACTGGAACTAACTCACGAAGAAAAGGGAAGTGTGTGGCTCAGATAACCAACCATAGCAGGAGCAAGTGACTGGAATCAGGGACTCCAACATCCCCTGGGTGCTCCCAATGCTTCTCTTTTCCGTGGAAGGGCTTCATTTCCTCCTGCTGGAGACTGGCCTCTTCCATGAGCATGGGGCATACCCATTGGAAGCTTCCAGACTTATTCTCACAGCTTTGTCACACTTTCCACCCACTGTAAAAGCAAAAAGGCTCACGGTCCCCAGTTTCAATGCAAAAAGACTCTGGTCTGCTTGGGCCGCCTGTCCTCACTGTAGTGGAGGTGTGGAGCAGGGGCCATGGTATGCTCTGGGTTTGTTCAGCTGTATGTACCTGGATGACCTCACCATGGTTAAATGTTGAAAGGGTTTCAGAGGGCTTCCTCTTCCAGAGAGGATGTATATGTAGGAACAATCCAACACTCCCACTGAAGCAACTAGAAAAAACAGAGTAAGTTACAAAAATCACCTTTTTAAGACATTGCAGAGTTGTGCCATGAATGAGGACTAATGAATTGAAACTCTGGAGAGGAAAGAGCCCTTTCCCTTTTTTTTTTTTTTTTTGAGATGGAGTTTTACTCTTATTGCCCAGGCTGGAGTGTAATGGCGCAATCTAGGCCCACTGCAACCTCCGCCTCCCGGGTTCAAGTGATTCTCCTGTCTTAGCCTCCCAAGTAGTTGGGATTGCAGGCATGTGCCACCACACCCAGATAATTTTTTATTTTTATTAGAGATGGGGTTTCACCACGTTGGTCAGGCTGGTCTCAAACTCCTGACCTCAGGTGATCTGCCCGCCTCGGCCTCCCAAAGTGCTGGGATTACAGGTGTGAGCCACCGCGTCCCACCAGAAAGAGCCCTTTCTGAATGTGCTGATTATCTCTGACCATTTTCTTCCCGGGGAGTATTTGCCAAATCTGTGCACAGGCCAAGGATAGGGCTTGACCCAGGCATAGCGTCTCTACTGGGACAAAGAGAAACTGGTAGAGTTTTTGATGATCAACGTGATCTGTTGTAATGCCAGAATCTAGAACTAAGCCGGAGCTCCTAAGAACAGAGCTGAATCTTCCATAGGCTTTCAGGGATGAGAAGACAGAGACATGCCAATGAAAAGAGTGGGCTCCATCCAAGGAACAGTGATGACCCAGAAGTGGACTGGGACCAACTAAGACTGCAGCCCCACCTCAACCCAACTGAATTCTTGACTAGATTGAGGTGATCAATCCCTCACCCCATCTGCTAACAGAAGAAAAAGAGATTCATCACCAGAGGAAAATAACATCATCTGTTGCCTCTGTTTTCTTTTATATAATTATAAGGCATATAAAGAGCAGGAAAATGTGACTGATCAGAAAAAAGGCAGGAGCCAGGTGCAGTGGCTCACGCCTGTAATCCAAGCACTTTGGGAGGCTGAGGTGGGCGGATCACCTGAGGTCAAGAGTTCGAGACCAGCCTGGCCAACATGGCAAAACCCCGTCTCTACTAAAAATACAAAAAATTAGCCAGGCGTGGTGGTGGACGCCTGTAATCCCAGCTACTCAGGAGGCTGAGGCAGGAGAATCACTTGAACCCGGGAGGCAGAGATTGCAGTGAGCCGAGATTACACCATGCACTCCAGCTTGGGTGACAAGAGCAAGACTCTATCTAAAAAAAAAAGAAAAGAAAAAGGAAAAAGAAAAAAAAAAGTAGGCTGGGTGCAGTGGCTCATGCCTGTAATTCCAGCACTTTGGGAGGCTGAGGTCAGTGGGTCACTTGAGCTCAGGAGTTCGAGACCAGTCTGGGTAACATGGCAAAATCCCATCTCTACTAAAAATACAAAATTTAGCCAGGTGTGGTGGCACGTGCCTGTAGTCATAGCTACTTGGGAGGCTGAGGTGGGAGAATCACTTGAATTCGGGAAGCAGAGGTTGCGATGAGTAGAGATCACACCACTGCACTCCAGCCTGGGCGATAGAGTAAGACCTTGTCTCCAAAAAAAAAAAAAAAAAGAGGTTAAAAAATTACCTGGACTTGGTAACAATACCTGTAGTCCCAGCTACTTGGGAGGTTAAGGAGGGAGAATTGTTTAAACCCAGGAGGTCAAGGTTGCAGTGACCCATGATTGCACCACCATACTCTAGCCTGGTCAACAGAGAAAGACCCTGTCTCAAAAAAAAAAAAAAAAAAAAAAATAGAGAAAGAGCAGGGAGTAGAAGCAGACCCACAAATGATTCTGATATTTGTGTTAGCAGACAAGGACTTATAATAAGTATTATAAACATGGTAAATAGAGAAAAATAATACAATAGATTAAAAATGAAAAATTTCAACAGTGCATTCAAATCTATAAAAAAAGAACCAA